ACAAAGTTGTAAATATAAATCGAACGCAGTGGTGTAAATTAAGGTGTCTAGTTAATCCCTTCGGCCGATGGACGCCGAAGGCCATTTATAACAGCTCAAAATACCAACCATTAGCTGTTGTATGTAAGATGGTGATTGACATATCAAAATGTTTTACATCTATCTAGGTATGTTTTGCACTCTTGACACTGAGCGTATATGTGATCGGAAACAATTGCATATAATACTCCGAGGAAAGTAGTCTACCGGTACATCTCGGCCACATTCTAAATGAGGATTTGTTTGATTTAAAATGAGAAAATTTATTGTAGAAAATGTTAAATGTATGTGTAATTACAATAAAAAGTAATGTGATTAAAAAAAACATCAGTTAAATGATATATATATAATTTTGAATTTGGTCAAATAATCCTCAGAATCGTCATCTCGCCCAAAGAAAAGTCGTCCCGTAAAATTAAAACATTTCTGCTTCCGGACTAGAAATAATGTACGGCGCCAATCTCAAATAGGAAGGAAAGCTGACGTAGTAACTAAATAAAAAGTGCAATAAATTTAGCAAGTAAGTTTATTTGAAAAAAAAATCTTTTCTCCCTTTTTTTCCTTTTTTTTTTTTTGAAAGGTGGGGAGGGGGTGGGGTGGGGTGGGTCGGTGATAACGTATTATAGTTGCCTCAGTGGTATCTTGAGAGGTATCTTGTATAACCGGACCTGTATGTAGTAGTAGCAAAATCATTTCTCGTTCGTGCTGAGTGGGTAGCAGGTTTGGAATTGGTTGATCCAGTGTTGTTCCTTACGGAGGCATTGCTGGTCACCCCAACACCTTCAGTAGTCAATTGTTACCACCTGCATGTCATGCCACGAACGACTTGGCATGTTGAAATGTCTTGCTAAAGGCAGATCCGGGCGTTCCTGTTTGATAGAACATCAGTGATTGTTGATCCTGAGATTAAGTGGTGTTTTGGTCTCCCCTACATACTGCAAATGGCACCTGGTACACGTGATCAAGTATATTACATTGGCCGATGTGCAGGATACACACTGGAAGATGTGGTAGTATTGGCCGTTGACCTCACATTTGAATGAATTGGTGCCGTGAGTATATGGACAAAGCTTGCACCTCTTACTGTTACATGTTTTGAAGCAGCCAGTTGCAGGAGTGTTGGAAGTTGTTGGTAGCTTACCACTCACCACCAGGTCTTTGATGTTTTTCGGTCTGCGATAAGCTAGTACTGGTGGTTCCGGGGAAATGTTCTGAAGTTTACTGGACGACAGCACGATTTTCCAATGATTCTGGAAGATTGTTGACAGTGGTGGCATGCTGGGGTGAAATGTTACCATACAAAGTACTCTCCAGTTTATGGTCGGACCTGGTATTCGGGTGTACCAGTTAGATGACTTGGAATCTATCGAGTTGTTCCGATTATTTTTGATCGTCCGAAATCGGGAGCAGTAATCCATGAAAGAATAATCTCGAGTAGAGAGAGATATATGTAGTTTTTGTGTAAATAAATGTAACTTGGTTATCTGAAATTCAAGTTTTAGTTTTTCATCATATATTTTAATAAGAACAAGTTGTAAGTAACAAATCAAGATATAGAAAAGTTACTTATACAGTACTACGATAAATCCATATCAGTATACATCTTGCAAAATATGACCTATTCAAAACGTAAATAATTGTTTTTATTAATTCTGGTATTAGCTAAATGTCGTCGAACTCTTGATGTGATGATTCGGGTCATTTCGCATCATACCATCAACATTATTGTGACACTGTTATTAAACTTCTCGACCATCATCGGGGCCTACTTTTTGTATCCCATCTTTGTTGTTACATATTATCTGAAGTCATTGTACTTCATATTACGTCATGATTACGAAAGATTATTTAAAATTGTGAACTTGTAGTGTCTCAATTTTTCACATGTCAATAATAAAATGACCTTTATCAACAATCATTACGCTTATTGTTATTTTTTGAAGTTATATTGCAACAAAACCAGCTTCAGACTCTGAACATCAAATACCTCGCTGCCATAAACGTAGTCGTATATATTGGCGTAATCAACTAAAAGTGCTGTATAGATCGCATCACAGCGTCGTTTATGGTACTTAAATATAAGGGAGATAACTCAGACACAGAAAACAGCACTTAGGTATTGACTGCTCCGTGTATACCTTGTTTCAACCCGTTCAGTAATGATACATACGTAGGTTAGCAAATGCTGAGCTCTTTTAATGTTTTTTATTGCCGTAATTAGGTTTCACTGATTATGTTTATCTCTAAACAATGATAGGTACACAGATGTACGTTATACTATTTCTTAACAATGATAGATACACCCCTGTAGAAGTGTCTTAACAATGATAGATACACCCCTGTAGAAGTGTCTTAACAATGATAGATACACCCCTGTAGAAGTGTCTTAACAATGATAGATACACCCCTGTAGAAGTGTCTTAACAATGATAGATACACCCCTGTATATATGACTTAACAATGATAGATACACCCCTGTATATATGACTTAACAATAATAGATACACCCTTGTATATATGACTTAACAATGATGAATACACCCCTGTATATATGACTAAACAATGATAGATACACCCCTGTATATATGACTTAACAATGATAGATACACCCCTGTATATATGACTTAACAATGATAGATACACCCCTGTATATATGACTTAACAATGATAAATACACCCCTGTATATATGACTTAACATTGATAGATACACCTCTGTATATATGACTTAACAATGATAGATACACCCCTGTATATATGACTTAACAATAATAGATACACCCCTGTATATATGACTTAACAATGATAGATACACCCCTGTATATATGACTTAACAATAATAGATTCACCCCTGTATATATGACTTAACAATGATTGATACACCCCTGTATATATTACTTAACAATGATAGATACACCCCTGTATATATGACTTAACAATAATAGATACACCCCTGTATATATGACTTAACAATGACAGATACACCCCTGTATATATTACTTAACAATGATAGATACACCCCTGTATATATGACTTAACAATAATAGATTCACCCCTGTATATATGACTTAACAATGATAGATACACCCCTGTATATATGACTTAACAATGATAGATACACCCCTGTATATATGACTTAACAATAATAGATACACCCCTGTAGATATGACTTAACATATGACTTAACAATAATAGATACACCCCTGTATATATGACTTAACAATGATAGATACACCCCTGTATATATGACTTAACAATAATAGATACACCCCTGTATATATGACTTAACAATGATAGATACACCCCTGTATATATGACTGAACAATGATAGATACACCCCTGTATATATGACTTAACAATGATAAATACACCCCTGTGTATATGACTTAACATTGATAGATACACCCCTGTGGATATGACTTAACAATGATAGATACACCCCTGTATATATGACTTAACAATGATAAATACACCCCTGTGGATATGACTTAACAATGATAAATACACCCCTGTATATATGACTTAACAATGATAGATACACCCCTGTATATATGACTTAACAATGATAGATACACCCCTGTATATATGACTTAACAATGATAAATACACCCCTGTGGATATGTCTTAACAATAATAGATACACCCCTGTATATTTGACTTAACAATGATAGATACACCCCTGTGGATATGACTTAACAATGTCAGAAACACTCCTGTGTTTTACGTCTGAATAATGACAGGAATAACCCTGTTTGCTTTGCCTTCATTGGTTTTGTTTTGTTCACAACTTTCCAATTATCTACCTTTAATGAATTTTAAAGGTCTTTCTACAAAAGCAGATGGAAATAAGATAGTGTGGAGATACCAATAAAAATATACAATCCACATTTTTCGTAAAATTGTCGTCAGTTATTATGAACCCCGATTCGTCTTTAATACGATGCATGGTCTTCATATACTTCTGATATTTTTTCTTCGCTGAATTGTTTACATGAAACCTGCGTCTTTGGTTATCATATTGAGTTTCTGACATTAGATGTAAGATTGTCTCTCAGATTGATCTTTTATGAAGAATAGTGGTAAGGACACAAATGAATGAGACAGGGACAGAACAAATAACCAAACCTTTGAGAACGCTGAGAAGCACATCTTAACAGATTGGTGAATCATTAGAGAACACGAGAAGCACCAATGCCAAGCCCCTACGAGTAACACATCTTTTACAATCGATAGAACCATTTGGGGAAACATGGTAGCATACTTTGTAAGATACCCAGTATGTAGATTAGTTTGAAAACGCCTACTAGCGCATCCTACACGGTAGGTAGAACCCGTTGAGAATGCCCACTAGCGCATCCTGTCCGGTAGGTAGAAACATTTGGGAACGCACACTAGCGCATCCTACACGGTAGGTAGAACCCGTTGAGAATGCCCACTAGCACATCCTGTCCGGTAGGTAGAAACATTTGGGAACGCACACTAGCGCATCCTACACGGTAGGTAGAACCCGTTGAGAATGCCCACTAGCGCATCCTACACGGTAGGTAGAACCCGTTGAGAATGCCTGAGAATGCCCACTAGCGCATCCTACACGGTAGGTCGAACCCATAGAGAATGCCCACTAGTGCATCCTACACGGTAGGTAGAACCCGTTGAGAATGCCCACTAGCGCATCCTGTCCGGTAGGTAGAACCAGTTGAGAATGCCCACTAGCGCATCCCGTAGACGATATCATATCTTTTGAGATGGCGCTGTGATTAACTCTACTTGTGACCTATTATGGAATTGACTGTGATCACACACGACATCTATAAATACTTACTTATAGACTTAACAAAGAAAGGTTGGTATGGGATAAGTTATCTGCCGTTTTATATCTGAACAATAACGGTGATATGAATTGTTCTTGTTCTGGATTCCGTAGTAAGATCTACAGGATCCATGAGTACTAGAAAGTCAAAACTGGTGTATTATGTAGTTTTATTACTTGGCATCAACATTTTTGGTCAACAAATTCATTAGATACAATTAAAGGTATCGTTCACGGTTTTTTAGAGCAATGAATGGCACGGTCTTTGTAGGTGACGTAACTTATAAAACTTCCACGCGAGTGTTAAGTAGATCGTGTCAAATTTGCAAAATAAAGTTTTGTACCAGTTCTAGCTTCCTTTATTAAGGTTAAGAACGTCTTTTCATTTAGTTGATATTACAAAAGTCATTGACCGCTGTGATACGAATCAAACACTATCCAATATATATAGATGAGATATCAAATTACTGTATGATGTTTCAAGTTTATAGACTATCAAAAATTAAAACGTTTCTAAAAACTCCGAATCTGTAATTCTGCTGATCCAGTCCAAGAACTTGGCGGCATGAGTGTAGTAGCCATATTGGCCAGGCCTATCACAGCCGACACCCCATGATACAATGCCTACCAAGTACCAAGGATCCTCCGACGTCCTCTGCATTGACAGTGAACCTCCACTGTCACCAGAACAAGCGTCGCCAAAATAGGCACGGTTATATCCGGCACAGATCATCGAATCAGTGAAGTTTCCACTTCCTATCCGTGCATGGGAGCAGAATCTTCTATCTACGTAGGGCACAAATACATCCCGAATGTATGGCGGTGTTTCAGTGATCCGTTCGTGCACTCTGCCACACCCGACTACTCTACCCACTGTCCGACCCAGCCGTCTGTTCATGAAAACGCTTTCAATTGCCTCAAGTGACTGCAGACAAATTGGTCTAATTAAACGACTATATTCTACAGGAGCATCGAGTTCAATTAAAGCTATGTCGTTGTCATACGGGGCTCTTTCTCCGAACCTTGGATATGGAATATATCTTCGAATCGCTCTTCTCTCGCCCCCTGTACCGTTACATAGGTCAGTTCCCAGGAAAAGGTCAACATAACTGGCATCAAATGATTTATTGAATTCCCTCGAGAAGTGGTCGTTACTCGTGCAATGGGCAGCTGTCAAAATCCACGACCTCGATATCAAAGTTCCACCGCAAAATGTTGTCATCTAGAAAACCAAACAATATAGTTGTGTTATGAACTGAACTGCATCATAAAGCCATTCATCCTTCTAGGACTCGTCAAATATGCTATGCTACAGGTAAAAATTTTGAAGTCAAGGAGGCAACTGAAAAAATCCAAAGTGATAGAAAGAATAGTTAAAATCTAGACTGGGAAATGCAATGAGCCCCATAATGTAATACATTGCGTAATTTTAGAATAACGTGAAATAGTGTTTACTACTAGGTTTCATCTTGATTTCTATCAAGAAATTAAAACATTATCAGAATTACAAATAACAGGAAGCACAGTCCTGAGAGTACCACAAAATAGTTGAAATGTAGATTACCTCCCTTCGATCCCGTAAGATCACGTGCCATGGCGATGAACCCTGCTGTACTGATTGACCTCTACTTATTCTTCCGAGCATGCGTGGTACCATGTCCGGTATAGCAGGTCTTCCACAATCTTCCAATGTTAAGAAATAAGACGTACCATAGAAAAATGATTATACTAAAACGCTATTTAACAAATTAATAATATTTTGATATGGCGTACCAAAAAAAATTTAAAATACTACACCACAGTTTGTCAACTCATCCGGAATTTCCATCCAGTGTCTGTTTCTCTTTTTAATGTTATTTCCTGTTAGGGATATCCATTAGTTGATAAAATTAAAACAAAAATAAAACATGTAATAACTATCTGAAACACGTCTGTTCTTCAATGGAAATATTTTGATCTCTCTGTCACAACTCCATTTACACTCAGTACTTGTTCTGTTTTATAACAAATATTACATAACTATTTATGATAATGGCCAAAATAAAGAAAATAAAGAAAACTACATACATCCGTTATCTATCCTTGGTGGAAGGTTGGACACTTGGACAGTTCTGGAAACTTTACAGTTATCTCCCTTGTTCACTGTGCATGTATATTCTCCTGTTGTTGTCTCTGTCACAGCGATTATAGTTAATTCTGTTCCGTTCTCTGATATCTGTAAAATAGCGTTATAATGTACACCAATTACGTAGAAGCTGAAACAAATTTCATTTCGATTATTGATAATTACTTGCTGTTAAGAAGGAGCAACAGAGACATTGAGTGTACAATCAGTGTACTTATTAAACCTATCAAACCGATAGATAATTGTGTAGTTATGATAAAGTGATATAAATGCTTGCTTGCTTTTAATTTCTTCAGATGGCTACAATACTACGTGCAATGTAATACATATTTATTAGAGACGTTGTAAGTTCGTAGTACGCACTAAGCATACATTATCTGTTTGAGTGGGACTGTCTATATATCGTGTTGCCGTTAGACATTGATGAATACCTGGTACATTTTGTCAGTAATGTGTTCCCTTGTAAGGCATCTCTCTGGACTGCATATCGTTAGTCTTCTTCTCTCTAGGGAATTTGACATTAATCTTCTTGGAAGCAGAAGACGCTTACCATTCCGGAACATGAAGGGGTATTTGCGTTATTTATTAACCCGCCTATATGCAAAACTGTGCCATGTTAACTTGATCTAACTCCTGATTTGTATTGAAAAGCGCTATTCACTTGTTTGTCTTTTATACAAGCTTAGAGATTGGATGTGGTAGACACTACTTGTGCATCTTAGTCCCCGTGGTTTGCCGTAACCTCCTTGCCACTTTTAAAATCATTCGAATAGTGGCACGGTTTGAAATATACACGTGTACTTGACATTCTTCTAAGATTATGAGATGCATGAAAACTATGAAATTTACTGAATTATGGGGACAATTCCCCTTCCAAATTAGATTAGGTATTTCTTTCATCAAATTTTCTTTTCCTCAGTCGTTTAACATTTAGGTCCTTAGCATCACTGGCGACTCCTATCAGGACGAAACAGCTGTATAAAGCAGTTTAATCTATTCTTTGGCGCCACGATATCTGATTTTAAATTTGTATAGAAAGGTGCAATTTTCTTGTGTATATTTTGTAAATTTTTTTCTTTCAAGAAACCTTATATACGAGCGCTGATAGATAAGTTGTGAGCCTCATATTTAATCGTTTGACTGTTGACATATTGCATTATTTTTCAGTATAATCCCGTTCAGTAACTATACACCAGCGATAATATTTGCCAGCGATGTTTAAGGGCCTCAATGCCTTTTTAAGAAGTCCTTATTGGACTGTTCAGAAAGTCCTTCACTACATTTATAACGTCATCTGACCGAAATTTGGTACCGGAAATGGCCTTTTTTAATTATGAAAATAGATGAAAATCTTAGCGAGAGCAGGCGATTTAGGCGGATCAGTTTAAAGCCGCAACCGTTAATGGCAGCCATAGCAATGACAGACTTGTTACCAGGGGCAATGTCCTGGTGGAACAGCACACCTTTACTGAGTTTCCAGATGATGGAACAGTTTTTGCCTTCTTTTGCAGTGGTGAACCAGGGTGCTTCCATTGTTAAGACTGTTGTTTGGCCTCTGAGATGAAATAATAGACCAATGTTTCATCCATAGTCACAAACCTCTACAGAATGTTAGCAAGATCTGTCTTTAAAAGGTTCAGATTAGCAATCGACAAATTCCACATGGTGTGCTTCCCAAATGAGCTTTCTCATTGCTAGATCTTCCTTAAGAATGGAATGCACTCTGTCTTGTGAAATCCCAACTGTACTCGCTATTTATCTCTCTGTAACACGCCTATCAGCAATATCATGGACTTAATTGACCATTTCTCGGGTTGTAACAGTGACAGGCCTTTCAGGATGGGCGTCATCCCCAAGGCTGTGCCAAGTTTGAATTACGCTACTGTCTATTTCAACTTTCTTATTTCACTGTCAAGAAATAGGAGTTATCCGCAAATATATATATAACCTCATTATATTAACGAAGGTACAGAATCTTGGTGTGGCGAAGAAAGTCATTTTTTTCTTGTTTACCTCATATTTCTCGCCTTCCACAAGTTCCTCACCGTCCTTCAGCCATGTGGTGTTGTATCTTCCGGGTGTACAGCTCAGTGTGGCACTGTCGCCACTGATCACTGACACCTCTGGAGGGGATAAGTCAATCTCTGAAACAAGTATTTAATTCTAACTTCAGCAGTGATATCTTTATATAAAATTCTACCTTCAGCAATGATAACTTTATATAAAATTCTACCTTCAGCATTGATAACTTTATATAAAATTCTACCTTCAGCATTGATAACTTTATATAAAATTCTACCTTCAGCATTGATAACTTTATATAAATTCTACCTTCAGCGTTTTATAAAAAATTCATTTAACTGTTATATAAAATTCTAACACAAGGTTTCAAAAGTGCAGTTGATTTGTAACATTTCATATATATTCTTCCTTCAATAGTGGTAACGTTTTATAAAAAATTCATTTCAAGTACCTGTTCCCATTATTACGATTTTCGGGCAAAAATTCGTCAGCTGAAGGACTCGTAACACAAGGTTTCAAAAGGTGCAGTTGATTAAAAGGATGAGTAAGAAGTCAGGGTCGCCCTAGTGACCCCATTGAGAAATATTCTATTCCTTTGTGCGATATAAAGCTGAATGTTAGTTTGTCCTGTTGGTTCCGTTGTTGCAGACCGTGCTCTCATTTGAGAAAGTGACATTACTTGCTTGGAGTGACGATGATGCAGAAGACGTTTAATCTTAATCTTTCGGAACACCTGGTCAATATACCTATTAGTTTTTTTGTCTTAATTAGTTACATTTTATAAACTCTACCCTCAGCAGAAACATCAATATACCTATTAGTTTTTTTGTCTTAATTAGTTACATTTTATAAACTCTACCCTCAGCAGAAACATCAATATACCTATTAGTTTTTTTGTCTTAATTAGTTACATTTTATAAACTCTACTTTCAGCATAATTGATATTTCATAATTTTATCTTTTTCAGTACTGATATTTTATCAATTATATCAACAGGACATGTGATATTGAAATATTTTTCTAGTTTGAAAATAAAAATAAAATGTTGTGACATTACCGAAACTGCAGCCTTCCAACAAAGTTAGGTTAAATGTTGTTTGTGAGAACGTGTCAAATGAATCAGTAAGGCACTTGTACATTCCTACATATCCTTCATCAAAGGAGAGAATTTCCAGACTTCCGTTTGCGTGCTCGATTACACCCACATCTCCCATAATGAGACGATCATTCAGTGCCCTGTTGACGTAGAAAGAAAATCAATCAGAAATGGTGAAAACAAAACCAGAACAAAATAAAAACAAAGAATTCTTTAACTTCGGCCTTAGGACCTTAGCATCACTGACGAGTCCTAGAAACAAATCTCATCAATCATTTTTTTTTCTAAAGATTTTTTTTATGTTTTTGAGATAAACATTATTAGATTTATAGCGAATTTGTGATTTAAACAGAACTAATATTTTCCTGATAATAAGCAAATAATTATTTAAATCCAAAATGAAGTTAGCGATAAAATAACGTAAAGAGTCTAATAATCTAAGAAAAATAACTTTTACTTTTTTAGAGAAAAAATAGTGAACAAATTCTTGATAAAATGAACTTTATTTTCCACATCGAAGAATCCCTGTTATAAATTCACGAATTTGATAAGCGTAAAGTAAGAATTTGTTCTACATTAGGAATCGGCTCATCCATTACCCAGCACAATGAAAGTGCTGATCATTTTCTCAAATGAAGCCACATCGTAGACTGTTCCATCGCCCTGTTTAGCGTTAGGTAGGTATATCATAAGATGTAAAGACACATTAACCTGAACAATATTGACGTCAAGAACGGTCTGTCTGTGAAACATAAGTCGTTTGTTATAATATGTTAATATTTATGGTTTTCTAATTTTACATTTTCCTGGCAGGTTGATTTTGATCACTTAAATGAAATTGAAATAGTATCTGGATCATGTAAAGGTGGTGTTGAGTCACCATCTCAACCACGTGAAAAGGGTATCGCACCACCTTTTTGATAAGAGAAAATAATGGGGTATTTTTTTACCACGTAAAGAATGTGTCGGTAACGTTTGTTGTACAATCGATCATGATGCTTTCGCCTCTATTGGCCGATATGTCTGTGTGAGTGTCACGTACTCTAGGCTGCACTTCCTACAAATAACAAGGGTACAATGTCATTTTCCTTGTGTTATATAGTTACTCCCTGTTTATCACGCTCTATACATTAATTGCGATAATACCAGTAATTAGCAATAATATCTGTAATGATACGTATTTTTCAACTGCGTCATAATTCTATTTACTACATTTTACATCAAAAGTAGACATTTTGGATTCCATTCTTCATTAGACATTTTACCTACAAACAAAATGTCACAAACAGCCACCATAATATCCTACCTACACGTATATCAAAGGTACTTCGTTCCTCGTTGAACTGAGAATACCTTCTGATTTACGGCCATCATACTGACACTACATTAAAACTCGAGGTACTTACCATGATATTTGTCGGTTGAATTTTGATGTCACACAACATGCCGGTGTAGTTAGACGTACAGTGACAGGTGAGATTTCCTTCCTGCTGCACACACTCACCATTTTCACAGATATTGTACTCACATCGCTTCCCCACCACACAACTTCCAGAAACCAAAAGGAGTAAAATATCAGTGACCGGAAATATTGACAGTCTTGAAAACTAATATGAAAATGAATTTTCATGTCATTAATAATTAAAAAAAATCACAAAAAACAAAAGAAAAAAAAAATACCCCCATCACCACCCACCAAAAAAAACCCAAACAAATTAGACGTGTAGTACTGTAATGTTATTGTGATAGGATAAAAAAGTTATTAATGATATAATTGCGGTACAACATTATGGATGTAAATGGTGTGTTTGCTTATTTATTTATCATAATTATATCGAAACAGTCTATATGAACATTTGCTGTCGCTAAACGGCAGTAGTTTTAGTTGCAGTATGCGTTAAAAATCACATAATTAATTTTGATGTAAGGAGAATTTTGTCCTGTTCGTCGAACTCAACTGGTTGAGAAAAAAAAACTATGCCGTGGCTACTAAAGCTGTAATTTTATTTCAAAATAGAAATTTTAGAATGAAATAAGTATGTGATAAAAGCAAAACCATCCTAATGTCTTGATCTGACGAGTCGGATCGCCCTCGTTTGTTGCGTGGAGGAAAATATCACTCGTGTGCCTAGCACCCTCGACACAACAAACTCGGGCGATCCGACTCGTCAGGTCAACACATAAGGGTGGTTTTGCTTATTTATTAAAGACAAGAAAATAACAGTAACATATACATGTATAAATATACCTATACGTTTCCTTTTCCTCCACACAAACAGAGTTTTCGTTACATCCAGGCACACAATTAGATACTGACAATAAACAAATAAAAATACAACAGAAACAGGTAAACAAGTAAATATTGGTATTGAGTTTCGGGTACGGTGTGTTATGCTTCCTTAGTTTGGAATTGATTTATGTGTATTGTTAGAAGATTACTTATATCGAACACAAACTGTGTTGTATATGTACATTTAAATCGTTTATCAAGCAAAGAGTGGAAAATATAAATGTTTACAGTTTCGAATTCACCACTGAAGTTTGTTCCTAGCGTAAGTAAAGAATGCTTTATCCATTACTCAGCATTATAAAAGTGCTGATCATTTTTTCAAATGAAGCCATATCGTAGACTGTTACATTTGAATGTTTAGCGTTAGGTAGGTATATCATAAGATGTAAAGACATATTAACCTGAACAATATTGACGTCAAAACTAGTCTGTCTGTAAAATATAAGTCGTTTGTTATAATATTTTAATATCGATGTTTTTATAATTTTAGATTTTTCTGGCAGTTTAAATTCTTTCACGGTTTGTATTTCATTACGTTCTGGCTACATATGAAATGTACATTATCATGAAATTTTATGTCTAGAGTATCTGGATGACATTACCATTATAAATAAGTTGTTGGTGATTTTATTTGGAATATTGATACCCTCCTGTTATTTCAGAACAGAACGGAATACTCCGATCATATGATTAAAACCTTCAATGTAAAATAGCTACGTTTGTAACATGTAAAACAGGCGTGAATAACTTTTTCGAACAATCAAGACATGAATGAAGGTAACTATTATGATTGCACAAAAAGACGCACAAATGAATAGCAATTCTCAATGCAAAGTTAGAGCTAAATAAAGCAACGCCAACTGATGTAGTAAAAAGCATCACACTTCTGTTTCGTCCTTCTATGGGGGTTAATGATGCTAAGGGCCTAGATTTTGAAACCTATGATACGACTGAGGAAATCCAAAGTGGTCGAAAGAAATGTCAGAATCTGGACGAGGAAGTGCAATAGTCCTATGATTCAATAAAGTTCGTAATTTCATATACATGCCCTATATCTGATAGTTTTAGAATGACGTCAAGCACGTGAGTATGATTAAAACGTGACATGGAGGTATGAAAAAAACAAGAAAACAAGAGCAGGTACCTTCATTTGGTAGCACAGTGAAATCACCCAGGAAACCCCGTCCGGAGACCAGGTAGTCTGACGTCAACACTATTCTTAGAGTGTCTGATGAAGTCACGTATATTAAGTTTTGTGTTGTCTGACCACAAATCTTTCCAAGAGAGTTGAAGTCTGAAATTTGCACATTCAATAAAAATATCAACATATTACGGATTTCTCAAAATATTGGAAAACATGGACCCTTCCATGTATAAAAAAAATAAAACTTGTCGGAAGGTTTTTTTCTATGCCATTCGTTACTTGTTAGTATCATTTGTCAGTGTCATAGAATTATATTGAAATATATATAACAATAAACAATCTAAATCTACTTACAGGAAAAAAGGTTAGACAAAGGTATTAAGCACAACAGAAATCAACATGTAGGTTTTTCCTTTACCAAGAAATAGCCATTCCTTTCCCATTAATCTCCTTATAGAAAAACAACAAGAACAAAATACAAACATGTCAACATTATCTTAATTCAAACTCAAGTTCAAGAAAACTGGGATGAAATATGAACAAAAGAAAGTACAAGGAGAATAAGACCATGTGTTCCGGATGAGCAAGCGTCTCCTGCTTCATCGACGACACCCGCCATGTTATTATATAGAGCCTTATGGAAGTATACGATATATCATTAGGCTGCAAAGCAATGTACACTTGCTAGAGAAGTTTACGGTTGACCAGTGATAAGGCATTGTTTTATTGTCATATATACGTACATTCTATGCATTTATCAATAATTTGAATGAGAAGTAGTTTGAAAGTGTCCATTAACTTTCAGGGCATAGCTGATTGATTATTTCAAAGACAAGAAAGATGCCTTTACTTGCCTTCGCTCGTCCTGTCGAAAAATTCCAAAGAGTCGAAAGTACAATTGGTGGAACCCTCCATGTCAAGGTAGACCAAGGTAAGCCTTATATGGTGGTCAGGCTGGGGCGACCTTATAACCACCTCACATCGGGCCTGGTTAGGGTAGAGACCCGGGAAACCAGGGCTTGTCACCACACCCTCCATAGCTTCAGTTACCTGGCAACACTCTGTAAGGATAAGTCACGTGTTATCAATATCAAGTTTTCAAGTTTTATTACAACTTTAGGCCTTAGGCCCATCAAATTACATAAACATTACATGATACAATGTAGAGAATCAAGACTATTGTTAACTTGAATAGTATGCAATTATTAACTACTGTTTTAACATTGTTTGCTAATGCAAAATATATAAGCACTCATTTCGTAAGAGAACGCACTCAAAAATCTCATTTTTTATTCAATATTACATGCATGGTTATCTAAAGTGGGTTTGTCAAATACAGTGACATTTACACAATAACACCTAGGCAAGTACACAATAGCACAGTGACTTGACACAATATCACTGTGACATTGTATACAATAGCAGTGACATGTACACAATATCACTGTGACATATACACAATAGCACCGTCACATGTACACTATAGCACCGTCACATATACGCTTCAACGTGAAATATTTGTCAGAGAACAGAGCAAGCAAACGTTTTTATTTCAAACCTTCTTGATCGTCACTTTCGGCTCCATTATCCTCCTGAATTAAGCTGATTTTTATTTCGAATCCTCTGTCCTCTAGGTACCCATCCGAAACGAATGTAACAAAGGCTTGATTACCACTGGTAGTAACAGAGGCTTTATAATCTGAATCTCCGCAAATATCCAACAGAGAGGGCGAATCTGAGAAAAATAATAGTACAGGTATAGAGATGTCATGATCTGGGACGTTATAGAAAAATCTGAAATCATCTGACTGATAGGCAGTGCTAATAAACATCCGGAAATTGTTCCGAAATTCATATTTAAAATATGAACTGACGAATTTGTACTTATTTCTATACAGTGGTTCAACTGGATTGCAAATTTCTTTTGAGCATTTTAGAATTCGTTTCTACATAATATAATTGTATTACGATCGTGTCACATTTGTCTACATTCTTTACATCACCTGACCTGACCATCATACATCACCTGGTCTGTCCATCAGCAAATAGAGCTCTCACAATAATATAGTATATCGTGGATTTCTGTAGGACAACTTTGTAACGTTAAACATTTACAAATATAAATATTAGTTAAATAAAACTGGTCTCACGTGAGTCTCTGCCGTCGTAAATTTTGACGTAATCAAACAGACATCCGGAATCTTCTAAACTCACATCATTTATATACAGCCGAACACGTGCGTGCTCACTAGGAGCCTGAATGAAATAGAAATGCTGTGGTATACATGCCATATATATAGCTGACTCTTCAAATTATGGGGGAAATGACGAGCAATTGTGGCAAGCAATTTTCCTCCCTTAGTTATTTCACATTAAACAAGGTGTATTTATGAAACTTCGAAGATGGACATTAAAATTGTACTGTATAAGGTATGTGCTAATTGCATGCACACTTTGTGAAACACTTGTGACTTCATTGCGGTAACGATTTGACAGATTTATTTCAATAGTTATAGCCAATGTTATATTTTTCAAATGTAAGTCAAAGGTCACGGTCGAAGTCACATGGTCAAACATTTTGGTATCACTGGAAAGGTCTTGTCACAAGGAACACACATGCCACATATGAATGCCCTACCTCTTACGATGCGGTAGTTATGGGCAAGGATAATGATGACAAACAAACAGACGAACAAACACACAGCACAAAAACAAAATGCCTTCGATCTTTTGATCTGGGGCATAAAAACGTGAAATATAGACAAGGAAATAGTGAAATCAATACACACAAAAGTGAATTTATCAATGAAGAAAAAAAAACATTTTAAATGTGAGTATTTACGAGACTTTACTCTGTTTGGACCAATAACGATGGCAATGATATAAAGTTTTTCTGCTGTTTACCTTTATCCAGTATACACAAGACGAGTAAGGACTGTACTCGCTTGGGTAGTTTGGACTCGTGATCCGGCCGTCCGTTTCTATCAGTTGGTTACAAAGTGAAAGGTCTGATGCTTCTGTAGGAAAAAATATAGTATAGGTGTCTGTAATAGCCGATATTTCAACATTTCTGTCGACCACGTTTGAATATTCTCACTTGTCTCATAAACTTCAAAATTAAAACCTTTAGCAATCTGAAGAGCCCTATAAGGATGAAACTGCTGTTGATGTAATATTACTAACGAGTCCTAGAATGATGAAACTGCTGTTGATGTAATATCACTAACGAGTCCTAGAAGGATGAAACTGCTGTTGATGTAATATCACTAACGAGTTCTAGAAGGATGAAACTGCTGTTGATGTAATATTATTAACGAGTCCTAGAAGGATGAAACTGCTGTTGATGTAATATCACTAACGAGTCCTAGAAGGATGAAACTGCTGTTGATGTAATATCACTAACGAGTCCCAGAAGGATGAAATTGCTGTTGATGTAATATCACTAACGAGTCCTAGAAGGATGAAACTGCTGTTGATGTAATATTACTAACGAGTCCTAGAAGGATGAAATTGCTGTTGATGTAATATCACTAACGAGTCCTAGAAGGATGAAACTGCTGTTGATGTAATATCACTAACGAGTCCTAGAAGGATGAAACTGCTGTTGATGTAATATTACTAACGAGTCCTAGAAGGATGAAACAACTGTATGATATTCAATCATTATTTGACTCTGCGAATCTAACTCAAAATTTGCATTAAAATGGTGTTATTTAGTCACTTGTGTGACTTCTGTACAATCTTCAAGATTGCAGGTAGTAGACACTACTGGTGGAAGTTTAGTCTCCGAGGTCTACCATAACCTGCATGCCACGTTTTAATTCATTCAAATAGTGGCGCTGTTCAAAATATATATACATTTTTATTTTTTCATTTATATTGTAGAAACACAGTTGTGCTTGGTTTTGTCCCAGAGTTATATCAAATAACGTGATTTAGTAGATTATGAGGTTACTGCACCTTCCTATCTATATTCTAACATTTTCGATCACTTTAAATTATTCTTGGCATCACTGACGAATCCTTGAAATAAGAAAAAGGTGCATGATGCAATTTAATTCATTATATAGCTTCATTTTTCCAAGTTTAAAATTGATATCAAAAGGTCTAATTCACTTGTGTGTCTGTTGTACAATCTTCACTTCAGCAAACAAATGATAATGAAGTTGAAATGAAAAAAAATACTTATGTCATCAGCAAAATGTGAGAAGCGACTGGTACGTAAAGCACGACACAGTATCATACCTGTTGGGACAGATCTGAACTGGAGCTGGAAACCTCGGTCTTCGGATGCGCCGTCTGACGAGAAGTAAAGGAAGATTTTGTCGGAATCAGAGAGGAGAGCAAAAGGTGAGTAACCACAATATTTACCCACACTATGGGCGTGGTCATCACTCCCGTCCCTCACCTCCAGGTAATCCCAGCTGAATTAAAATAGAAGTTTTACAAGCTTGATATAGTTTTCGATATTTCATTTTCTAGGAATATACACCAAATTATCTGTAATTTCTAGTAACATTGGAGAGCGTGAACATTTCGAATCGATGAATACAAGCACGCCAATAAAATATTCAACTTCCTTTTAAACAAATTTATATATATATATATATATAATGCCAGCAATACCAATATAACAAAGAAAACACCGACATGTCAACATCTTCATTCAAACTGAAATTCTGTTAAACTTTGAATTAATAACGAACATGTACATGAAGACCCCCGATAAAAGGTACAACAACAATACGTCCTCTGCTTTATCGATGATGTCTGTTTTGTCTAAAGACACAACCACGACAGACCAGTAAGTTTCTCATCTTCCCGAAAAAAAGCAAACCGCCATGAGCAGGAAGCGTCGAACTACGCACCTCGGATTCTAGACAAACGTTCAAACTGACAGAGTTATCGTCCCCTGTCCCCTTCCCACTTCCCTCCAATATTCGTCATGTAAATTTTGGTCATTATATTATCTTACTTGCACCCGGTAGAGAATTCCGTTGCAAATGTCGTAGCTGACAAAAGCAGCCGATGTCCTTCCTCAGCTCTGATCTCCCACCTACAGAATAAGTTAGGTAGGTAGTATTCCTCTGCCATTGGGGGACGTATTACACCTTGGGATTCAGATACAATCTCGCCACACAATGTCACTGTTCAATGATAAGCTTATTATCAGTTATATTATTTTCAATGTAGTCTTTCTGTTTTTTCATCATACATTACACCTTGTTCTCAACAAATTGAAATAAATCAACACATATGATAACTTTATTTCCTTCCCAGTAAGAATGGTACTTCGTTGAAAATATTTCATTGCTAATGAGTTACTAGTGACACAATAAAAACGAAAAAATGATATCATATAAAATTACCATTACGAAAAGATGTTAAAGCGACAAGTGAATATCTATTTATAAATATAGTTAATGTAAATTACTGCTTAAATAAAAAGCAAACTTTGTTGAATTATGAGCTGTGGTATAATTTTGATTGTGTATACATATCGCTATAGACACGGCAATCACACTATAAAACATTCCCCGAATACGCTCTTATTACAACCTACATAGAGAAATCTCTGTTATTACGGTCTCTGTTCTAATTAAGATAAATTATCGTAACAGTATCCAACACATGATACCCTTTGTTTCTTGTATCCTGAAGGAGAAACACTTTCTCTTCCTTTACAAACATCAAGTATATTTCTAATATTCTCCATAATAAACAATGCGACTTATTAAAGTTTTCTCACCATGTCTCTTTTGTCGATCATCGGTTAAAGTCGAATTCACTGACGATAAAACAAATAAAAATAGAATCCACCTCCTTTTGTCAGCCATGTTTGGGTCAGACTTCAGGGGGAATCTGTAGTGTCAATTATATAGTAGAAACACTCAGGCGGATGTAGATACTTACAAATCGGGACTAGACTTAACCGGTTTGGTCAACTTTATCATCAGAAATTCAGCAATATACATGATATACATGTATATAAAATCTGCCTTTATCTATTGTTTATTTTCTTGGGACAATTTGTTTTAATGTTTTGGTTATTTCAATTTACGCGGATTAAATATTTCAATCTACGTGTATTTTATAAGATGTGTGAGCACGTACGCCAGCAAGTGGAGAGGACAATAAGGTATCTGTTTGAGCTGGTGTCGTAGAACACACAGGCAATGTTTATAGAGTGAAATATATAATTATTAGGACTTTTCGGAATTATATAGAATCTGTTTCATTCTAGATACTTAATGAAGAGGACATTCCCCAAATTTCTGTTTGTATAAAGATTAAGGAAAATAATTTGAGGGTTTTTTATTTTGTGTTTTTTGTTTTTGTTTTGTTTACCGGGCTTTTGGTGAGGTAAAATGAAAAAAATCGTGACGAGTTTCATAAGGTCTTTGTAAAATGGAAACAATTAAATTCTGTTTTTCAAATAACTTGAATACTTGTAATCCAAACTGACGATTCTTTTTAACAATTTTAGTCATGCTATATTCGTGTACATCTGCTGTAGGTTGTACTTTTGACAATACCGTGGAATGGGACACTTGCACTCAGTGATTATAATACTTCATTTCTCTTTCTTTACTATCTTTTAATATGAAAAAAAAAGATAATCTAATATATATTTCAACAGGGACGTATATACGTCCCTGATTTCAATTCTAAATAATGATGATTTGTTCGTTCATATGCCTACTTAATGTTCACTGTGATAAGGATTGTGACCCAATCGGGAACCCTCGGCAATTTCCGCAAGCGAGAAAATAGATTATTTAACATGTTTTCTCTTTTTGAATTATTTTGATTTTCCTTGTTTTTATCGATAGTTCATGATTTGTTTGGTACTGACAATTCACTTTTATGTGATTGTTGCCAGGTTCGACTCCTGGAGACCGTTCAATTAAAACTCAGTGGTAAACATAGTGCAATTAATTAGGAAAACATGTATTAATGTGAAGTTTAAGGTACCCAGCTCATACATCTAGCAGATGTTTAAGCTAAGTAGATATATAAATTTCTCAGGTGATGTATTAACATTTGAAGTGATATACAGTATTTATCCGGCAATAAGCCCGTGCCTGCTAATATGCCCATCCTTGTATTTTTCATAGATTTCAAATTCATTGTCCTATATAAACTATATTCCTGCAATAAGCCCACCCAACTTTTTCCAATATTAACACAGGTCCCTTGGGCTTATTACAGGAAAAATACGGTATTATACCAGCTTTATTGTGTTTATGTACTATCCTGATCTTTGATATTGATGATCCAGAATTATCATACCAAATTAACAGTTTGACTTCATCACTGGTGTGATGTCTACATGGTAAATGGACAACTCTAGAAAATTTTCTGAGTTTATTATCTTAATATATCACATTTGAGCTAATGTCCAGACTGGATAAAGTCCATCTGAGGATGTCTTCAGAGTCCAAACGAAACATCATCACAGACTTTGGAGATAATCTCTTGGAGAAACTTGTACAAGACATCAGTTCTGGTAAGAACGGCAAGCTAAATGGTGACAATGTTGATATAAGAGTTCACACCCATGATGTACGTATGTCAAACAAGGACAAAAACTACCACTTTTTTGCGTCAGACTATATCCTGGATAGAGTTGATGTTCCTGTAACTCTGGATCCGTTGCCAGGAATTCGAACATCTTATGGCACTGAACCCAACGTCCTTTGTCCCATCTGGTCAGGAAACTATTGGCTGCAAGAATAGCCTTAATGTAGGGATGTTAGAAATACAAACAGTGATGTTTAAAGATTGAAAGGGGGACAACACTTTCATTATTTTGGACATGAAAAGCATATGTTTTTTTTTCAGTTAATTGTCCTGGAGGAGCCATGAAATACCAAAAGTTGATAAAGCTGGCTATTACAATTTGAATGTGAAAATATTCTGTCTATGTGCGGTATAAGCAATCTGTTAATCATGTATTACATTTATATAGATTTTCTATTTTTTTGTAACTGTTCAATTTAGTAATGAGTAAAAGTTGTATTATGATGAAGGTTGATCATGAAATGTCAGTTTTAAATGGCATAGCTTTGCTAGCACAATATGTCTTTATAAAAGACAGTTAATGCTATAACATGACAATTCAAAGCTATATTGCTGTTTTGTGATTTCATATTTGATGTTATAAACTTCAGGTGCTTTTATCTAGACTGATGTTGAAGCATATTCCTGGATTTTCTTGGATGCAACATTTGTCCACTTTACCCGATCATATTACACACACCCTGGAAGAGCAGATGGCAAAAAAAAATCAATTATACACATGCTCCCTGTTTCCCTTAACAATGAGGTGTCATATGAGGGATGCATTCATATAATGGATGAGGAAATGATAAACCATTGGTACGCCAAGGCAGGACGAGGTAATCTAAACAGTTAATAAGCTATATAACATATTATTATACCTCATTATTCATAGATATATCTGATTGTTCAAGACAGTTACATGAAAAGGGAATAAAACCTCATATTTTCCTGATGTTAACTCTCCTAGGCATTGTTACTTGTTGTGTGTTGCAGTAAATAACAGGTTGATATTGTAGCCTGGTATGGTTTTGGTATAATAAACAATTTGGTGCATTACTGTGCAGGAGATTGGTCGAAGAAAAATCATACCTGACATTCCCCAGGAATATGATTTTTGTTGGGTAAATAAATCTTCATATCTCCCTCTCTATCATGCAATAAATGTATAATTTCTTCAAAAAGACATGATTTTAATTGATATATAGGCAAAAAAGGCACTGGTTTCTCTTTTCATTTGTGCAACCACATGTTTGATTGTACAGGTGGTGAACTTGATGGTCTTCAAGTTCCGGTTGGGGGAGACCAACTGACACGGTGTAGACTGCAAGAGGCAAAATCCCTTAGAGCTGGGTCACATACTCCAAAGGAATGATTTGAACAGCTCTATCCAATAGGTGTTGAACTGTTTCATACACCACAAGATTTGCTGTTAGTGTTAGCATTATCCATAAGTGAAATGATATAATGTATGACATAATCCCGTTGTTGCTATGACTGAGATAAACTAGAACCTTTGCCAGGATGGCTGACTATTACTCTGCAAATCTGTCAGCCTACCATGACAGTTGCATGGTTAAAATTAAGTTCATTCACGCAAAAAGGGATATATTCAAGGAAATAATGGTAATATTAATGTTGAGAAACAATTTTTTTTTCAAATTATTATCATACTTGACCAATATGTGAAGTTTAAAATTTTGACAAAATACCGTTAAATGATAGAAAATATACCCTAATCATCATGAAAAGTGAAAATGAGGTCCGTAGTTTTCCATAATTGCAATTAAGACCGGGAAACCCCATTACAGAAGGGAATCTCCAGAATCGTGTCCCACCTTCTATCTTATTCATATGCTCAAATGACCTTGTCTAATGGATTCTTGACGTAACCTTGCCAATTTGAAGATGATAGAAAACTCATCAGATATGATGAAGATTAGTTTGACAGAATTACATTTTGAGATTACGGAAACATAGAGAGACTTTAAGATGACAATGCAAAATTATGCAGTTTCTTTCTTTGGTTAACAATATTTGAGACCCTGGGATATCTCTTCATCTCGGTAAAAATCAACACATGTACATTGACATCATTCTCACAGACATGAGTGCTAAAGAAACTCTTGTGAAATTGATTAACCACTGTTAATATAAATGATTGAAGAAATACAAATTCATATCAATGGCTAGATAACAACTGCTGCATTTAATCTTTTTTGTCACTGAACTTTTAGCCAGGAAATAAAATTGAACAAAGAATCTATCAGGAATATGATGAAACATAAATGACTTGAATATTTACCAGTGCCAGAACAATTTGGATCGACCTATAATTTGCTTTTAATTCAAAGAAAAATTAATCTGAGAAAGCTTAGTAAGGTTGAAGCTCTAATTTGTATAACTGCATCACTCCGCCTAATATTCCCGAGGTATTTTCTCGCTTGCGGAAAGTGCCGAGGGTTCACGATTGTGACAGAACTATCTCGCGCATATGTTCAAGATAGAAATTTCCTAGCGAGTAGATCCGCTAGATGTCGCGGCAGTTCGGCATATTTACACAGGCGATAAAACAAGGGAGAGCTGTCTTTGTTCGTGGCAAAACGACAGAAAGTGGTAAACAATTGCATTTTTATCGAAAGGACGTGTCATCATTTTATTTCAGATTTTTTCTTATATTTTGAAGAATTATTCTAAATTTATTGATTGACTTTTATGCTGATGGATATTTCGCTGCTTTGTGTATGTCTGGATCAGCAGTGTGCGGCGTGGGTGTTGATGTGTGGCACACTTATTTGCACATGTACCGGCTTTGCACCGTCAGATCCATTTGTCAAAATTTCCATTTGAAATGATGCAAACTATTTGTATAGTTATTTTCTTGCATTTCCTATAGTGCAACCACTTGTTATAGCTACTATTTACTACTGACGATATTTATACTGCATGCAAACAGTTCAGTCAGGTTTTTTAAATAGAGTGACCTCCCTTTAATCAAACCGAGCTGATGGAAATATATTTCCATGTTATGTGTTTGGTGTCTTCAGTGTAATATTTCAATAAAAGTTTGGCAATTAGACATAAAAGTAGTTTTTCTCTACCATTAAAAAATGAGTGCTTTGCACAGCATCCAATACAATATTATTTTTCTAAAAATATAATTTAAATTAAAGGAAAATATGTAAACACTGTTTGTACAACAGTTTAAGCTCTTATATATATTTTCAGACTTTTGAAACTTAAAGCTTGTGCATCAACCGTAGACCATAAAAGAATGTGCTGAATCACACTAAATACACATCATGTAAATATCATTAAGTACTTGAAAATAAGTTTTGATTAAAAATCATTTTTTAAGGACATCTAAGCAAACAACCCAGGTTATTATACACATAGTAAGTATACAATATATCCTAATAAGTATATACAATGTATGTTTACTCTGAATTAAATCAATATCAAAGTGAACACATGTAAGAACTGTCTGCTTGGTAATTTAGAATAAACATCCTGTATTGTACAAATATGTATAATTATTATAAAGCCTGCTTTATTTGTTAGCAGGTTGTACTCCAGACCAGAACAATGGCACCAAAAAGGAAATTGGAAGAGGAGGACGGTGATGCATCTGCTGTAAGTAGAAAGGCAAATTGTTCTTACAGTTAAAAATTTCACACTTTTCCACTGTTGCTAAATTAAAATCTAGGTCCCAACAAATATTCAATAAAAGTAACATTGCCATACAGAACATATTAATCTCAAAGGCGTGGACAACATAGATTTTTTAGGTCTTCTGACCCAAAGGGTCACGATGACCTAGTAAACTTTTGACATTTCAAAGTTCCTCTCAAGTTGCATGAAAGGATAGTGTATAAGTTAGGTTGTAATAAGTTGGACCTGTACAGGGATTCAAGTTTGATTGAATTTTGTTTTGTTTGTTTGCCTGGTCAGGGGTCAGCTGGGGAAGAGAAGCAGGATGATGGAGTTGATACAGCCACAACACAGACTACTACACCTGTTAAAAAAGCACGAGGACGCCCTAGAAAATCAGATTCAGATAAAAAGGCTGTAAGTGTAGTATTTGTCCTCTTAGATCTTGTCTTCAACTCCCATTTCTGGTATGATACATAAAGAGTCAGAAATGCTATGCTAACTAAACTGAAGCTTTCAAGCAATGTTCCATTCTGAATTCAATTCTGTATGTCTGGTTTCAAAAATGTGCTGGAGTGACGACATTATGGCTCCCCTTTGAATGCAAGGAATGATGCAGATTGTTTTTGAACTGGAACTTGGAACCCTGTTGAACTTCAGACAAAGTGATATCAATTTTTTTTAGAGATTTTCATAACAGTGTAATGCCTCTTAGATACATGTTATAAGAGAGGATATGTTGAAACATAGGTTCGTGGAATATGACAGGCCTCGTATTTAACATTTTTTGTCACTTGCTGAAAACAGCAAGTGCCTTAAATTTGTACTTGCTAAAAAGACTTTTTACTTGCTATTATCACAAATCTCCATGTTCAAATAATGTGTTTTGTTTTGTGATTTATAATGTATTGCCTTGCTTCGTCCAATATATATCAACATTATAGAAGAACTGCTTTGTCCCAATATTTACACTTTGAAAATCAAAACAATTTAATTCTGTGAAATGTTAGGAATAGACAAGCACTCACAGTTTGCATGTGATGAATCCACTTGCTGAAAAAAGCAAGTCATTATTTTTTCTACTTGCAATTCTTGGATTTCTACTTGCAAATAACCAGTAAAAAGCCTTAAATTGGAGGCCTGATAAGTGATGAATACTTTATTCTGGTAGCTCTTTATATTGTGTATTTTGAAACTAACCTGTTCTGATGACGAACCATGCACACTGTAATCACACAGTAATAAAACAATTATGTACATGTGGGATAATTGCTATTTAGTATGTATACAGACTGTAGCTACCAATTTTGTCAACATTGTTAACAGTAAGGCATTGTCAAATAAAATCAATAATTGAGAACAGGATTTTTTCTTGCCCACCTATCCTCCTTCTAAAGCAACAAATATCTACATATTTGCTTAAAAAGGGGAGACTTATATATAGTATGTTTGCTCACCAAATTCTTGTTATAGCTATATAGGACAGATAGTGGATAAGTACTCATAACATCATGGGTGACTAAACTAAATAATTGTTGAATGAACAAGCTGAGCTTAAATTTTAATGGTGTTTTATGAAACTTGTTACAGTACACACCAACAGGAAATCCTCGCGGCCGACCTAGAATGAAGGTACCGGTAAGTGATATTGATAGTGTTGTGATTCCTACTGCCTTCCACTGGCAATGCAGGTATTCTAGGGCCCCTATAGCCTCCAACAGATGTTAAATGGTGATTAAAATTAACTTTCTGTTGGAGGGTATACATATCCTCTCCACCCAACTGATGCTCTCTCTAATTAATTTATTACATCTTGTGTTTAACATGGATAGAATATTTGAAAATTAGATATTTTGATCTGCCAAAATGTTAAAATACTGGAATTTGGGAAAGTATGTTGGTCCAGAGCTTGTAGAAGTCCAGTTTTACTTCTGGTTCCAGAGGGTAGTCTTGGATTTAAAAAGTGAAGCTGTCACTGTAGTAAAATAACAACTATTATATGTTTGTTGGTGAGCATCAAAACATGGCATTGTCTTTTTTATTCTGATTCATACAAGATGTACATTGAATAATATTTGACCGATCAACAAAAAATTTTTTTTGGTTAATATAACTGCACTAAACTGTCATCAAATTTCTCATTTGCATAATTATGTAGCTTGAATGGTGAATAGCTGACACAGACATGTCCTAAAAATAAGGCAAGGATCAATAGCATGGCCCCTAAAAGGTCAAGGACATTCTGATTCACATTGAATGTTATAATTACTGGTGTTAAACAAGTCACCCAGATTTAGGAAAATCACTCATATTGAAACTGCACTAAATGGTAATGATTTTGTTCATTTTAAATCTATATGTGTTAGAATGGAAACAGTTCTGTTTTGATTTGGTAATATGCAATGAGTTGAATAATTTGTCTTTGATTAGAAGTGAAAAATATTGAGGTCATCGAATAAAAAATATGCTTCCTGTAAAATATTGGTTTTAAATATATTGTTGCTTACTCTGCTAGTATACTGCTTTTTCTGTAGTACATATAATTTGTACTTAATAAGCTTTACTAACTGACCATTGTCTTTGTCAGGGTGTTTTGAAATGAATTGTAAATTCTTAGGATCATGAGACGTAAACAACTTTTTTACAGTAATCTGTAGACATTGATAGGAGACAGAGTACTAACAAAAACACTGGAATGTTTCATGAGATCTATGGGCTACAAAGTGGCACATCAATATAACTAGGGCTACAAAGTGGCACATCAGTATAACTAGGGCTATGAAGTAGCTCATCAGTATAACTAGGGCTATGAAGTGGCACATCAGTATAACTAGGGCTAGGAAGTGGCACATCAGTTTAACTAGGGCTAAGAAGTGGCATATCAGTATAACTAGGGCTACGAAGTGGCACATCAGTATAACTAGGGCTACAAAGTGGCACATCAGTATAACTAGGGCTAGGAAGTGGCATATCAGTATAACTAGGGCTACGAAGTGGCACATCAGTATAACTAGGGCTACGAAGTGACACATCAGTACAACTAGGGCTATAAAGTGGCACATCAGTATAACTAGGGCTAGGAAGTGGCATATCAGTATAACTAGGGCTACGAAGTGGCACATCAGTATAACTAGGGCTACGAAGTGACACATCAGTACAACTAGGGCTATAAAGTGGCACATCAGTATAACTAGGGCTAGGAAGTGGCATATCAGTATAACTAGGGCTACGAAGTGGCACATCAGTATAACTAGGGCTACGAAGTGACACATCAGTACAACTAGGGCTATAAAGTGGCATATCAGTATAACTAGGGCTAGGAAGTGGCATATCAGTATAACTAGGGCTACGAAGTGGCACATCAGTACAACTAGAGCTATAAAGTGGCATATCTTTATAGTGAGGGGTACAGAGTGGCATGTCTGTATAATAGGACTACAAAGTGAAACATCTTTATGATTATGGCTACTCCATTTAAGGTATCTGTCAGGTATAAAGAATCTTTTGAATACAACATATAGTAGTTTGTTTTTGTCTGAAGACTATCAACTGTTCTACAAAAAATGCTTTTTTATGTCATATATGGCAGATATTGAAATCAGAACACCTCTAATGCATTAATACTTCATATGATGTTGCGTGTCCCTGTTTACTTCTGTGTCTGTCTTTGTCAGTGTGTGCTGTAGAGGCATGGGTTGTGTATTTACCATTATTGGATGTGAATAATGTTGATATGTTGCAGGCTTATACTGATGTAAGCTGAGTTTATATAAATGAACAATATAGACAAAAAATGTGGCCAAAATGTAACAATATCTATGCTAATAGCAGCACTTCAACCACCTGTTCCCTTTTTAAATTGTGTTGTACTTGTAATGTATGAAACAAAGTGATGACTGAAGGGAGGTAATTACAGGGATCATTACAGCCTTTTTTTAGAATCAGATATAAATTTTAGGGGGTGGGTTATTATTTTTTTTGAAAAGTTAAGATTTGAGGCACATTCCTATCCATCAAACTTGTTTTAGTTCATTACTATGAAATTATTTTTTAAAAATAAATAAAATGAATTGTTATGGAGATAAAATGAATTGTTATGGAGATAAAATGATGTAACCAGTAAGAAATAGAGTCATGGCAATATGGACAGTGATTTTCAGGACTAAGCCATTTCCTGTGGGACTGGCTCAAATTTTGAAACCCAATCTTATCTCTTAGTATTGGGACTAATGAAAATTTTGGAATTGGTGTTCTGGACTTGCCTTAGAAATTATACAAGACTGACTGATGGTGCAGGTCACCTTGAAATACCTCTTTTTGTTCTCAGAACATGAAAATTAAAGGTTGGTGATTTTTTCTTCACTAAAACACTTTTGAGAAGTAAGACAGAAAAGACTTATCAGTATGCTGCAAGGGGTTTCCAACATAGGGCTTTGGGCAGAATGATTTCTTCATTGTCTCTATGTCTTACAGATACAAAGCAATTTTAAGGCACCATGAATGCATCATTGCCCTTGGTACCTGAGAATTGTGCACCAATGTGTAACAGTTGTAGCTACAAAAGTTTTAAAGGAGTGATCTAGATATTTCATGCTTATTTCTCAAAATATGATTGACCAGTTGGCATTCAGGTGCATGCCTAGGTCACTATAGAAATGTACATCATATCATTAGATTTCATTATATTTAAATATGTATATACATTAAAACAATACATTGTTTATCTTCTTCACCTTTGACCTTGACCTCAGTTACTTATTTATAACCATTTACTGGTTCATGTATTACTATCATTTTTATGTGTAAATACATACATGTAATACAGTGTGTAACAACAAGTTCCATTACCCATACACTGAGGTATATCAAATTAGAAAAGATCGTTTGACCTTTGGTTTAATGAAATATCATTATACTGGTTTTCAACATATGTTTTGGTCATTAATTCTTGGTCTAAATCTTATATTACCTCTAGTATATCATGAGGAAGAACTGTGTCACAATCCAAAATAGAATTCCTGGGATCTCATGTGATGATGGAACCTATCATCAGGAACTCATGTAGTTGTAAATTAGTTTACAGGAACATCATACTGTCATGGCACTGATTGTCAAAGTGATACATACTTAAGTGTGGTCACATATGATACTGCTATCATACTGCTGTTGATCTAAGAGTCAGTGATTGATAATAGAAATTTTCTTTGCGGTATCGTGTCATTTTCTGTGTATTACACACGTTGTAGTATCATGTCATTTCCTTTGTATTACACACTTTGTGGAACCTTGTCATTTCCATGTGTTACACACTTTGTGGTATCATGTCGTTTCCATGTATTACACACTTTATGGTATTTTGTCATTTCCATGTATTACACACTTTGTGGTATCATGTCATTTCCATGTGTTACACACTTTGTGGTATCTTGTCATTTCCATGTATTACACACTTTGTGGTATCGTGTCGTTTCCATGTATTACACACTTTATGGTATTTTGTCATTTCCATGTATTACACACTTTGTGGTATCATGTCATTTCCATGTGTTACACACTTTGTGGTATCATGTCGTTTCCATGTATTACACACTTTATGGTATCTTGCCATTTCCATGTATTACACACTTTGTGGTATCTTGTCATTTCCATGTATTACACACTTTGTGGTATCATGTCATTTCCATGTATTACACACTTTGTGGTATCATGTCATTTCCATGTATTACACACTTTGTGGTATCATGTCATTTCCATGTATTACACACTTTGTGGTATCATGTCATTTCCATGTATTACACACTTTGTGGTATCTTGTCATTTCCATGTATTACACACTTTGTGGTATCTTGTCATTTCCATGTATTACACCCTTTATGGTATCATGTCATTTCCATGTATTACACACTTTGTGGTATCATGTCATTTCCATGTATTACACACTTTGTGGTATCATGTCATTTCCATGTATTACACACTTTGTGGTATCTTGTTATTTCCATGTATTACACACTTTGTGGTATCTTGTCATTTCCATGTATTACACACTTTGTGGTATCTTGTCATTTCCATGTATTACACACTTTGTGGTATCTTGTCATTTCCATGTATTACACACTTTGTGGTATCTTGTCATTTCCATGTATTACACACTTTGTGGTATCTTGTCATTTCCATGTATTACACACTTTGTGGTATCTTGTCATTTCCATGTATTACACACTTTGTGGTATCTTGTCATTTCCATGTATTACACACTTTGTGGTATCATGTCATTTCCATGTATTACATCCTTTATGGTATCTTGTCATTTCCATGTATTACACACTTTGTGGTATCATGTCATTTCCATGTATTACACACTTTATGGTATCTTGTCATTTCCATGTATTACACACTTTATGGTATGTCATTTCCATGTATTACACACTTTGTGGTATCTTGTCATGTCATTTCCATGTATTACATTACACACTTTGTGGTATGTCATTTCCATGTATTACACACTTTGTGGTTGTCATTTCCATGTATTACACACTTTGTGGTATCTTGTCATTTCCATGTATTACACACTTTGTGGTATCTTGTCATTTCCATGTATTACACACTTTGTGGTATCATGTCATTTCCATGTATTACACACTTTGTGGTATCTTGTCATTTCCTTTGTATTACACACTTTGTGGTATCATGTCATTTCCTGTGTAACACACTTTGTGGTATCATGTCATTTCCATGTATTACACACTTTGTGGTATCTTGTCTTTTCCTGTGTAACACACACTTTGTGGTATCTTGTCATTTCCATGTATTACACACTTTGTGGTATCATGTCATTTCCTTTGTATTACACACTTTGTGGTATCATGTCATTTCCATGTATTACACACTTTGTGGTATCTTGTCATTTCCATGTATTACACACTTTGTGGTATCATGTCATTTCCTTTGTATTACACACTTTGTGGTATCTTTATAGCTATATAGTTAATAGCTATAGTACATTATCCCTAGTTTATGGTGAGTTTCCAAGATATTCGTACATGTGTGCGTTACATTTTCCTACTTGTGTTAATACAGGAAAGAGAAACCGAGAGTGGCACACTGAAAAAACGAGGCAGGTCGTCAGTGGTATCTGTAAGTTATGCTGGGTTCAGATTGAGATTCACTAGATCTGTTATCCTTATCTATAACAGTATAAAAATATTACTACATTCATTTGAGGTAAATCTTCATGACAGATCTCTTCCAAGCGGATGATCACACATCCTGTGAAGAGTTTAGTTGTAAAAAGTGTAAGCACCTAAAGGATTGTATTGAGGTAGAGTTTAACCACAATTTTGATTAAATAAAAAGTTTCGTTTAAGATCCATACAACTTAACATAATAAAAACCTGGACAATGTGGATGATTTGTCAATTAGTTCCTTTTTGCATCATATTGATTAATTGTTTATAGGACAAACTGATATATTTTAATGAGAAATAATGGTTTTATACATCTATCACAAATGGCTGTAGAGTTATGGCTCCCAAATTCATCAAATTAGAAAAAAAATCAGGATTCAAATTACTGAATATGGATTTCAAATTAAGGATACATTCCTTCTCCATAGTAATTTTTTTTTAGTTAATTTGAAAGTTTAATTATGGGTTTGAAAACTTGATTTCAATAATATAAAGAGACGCAAATATAAATGTACACTTGATATGTGTAGGCTGTTACATCTGAACGTTTGTCTTACATAGAAAACAGGTACAGATAGTGAGGTAGACAGAACTCCATCACAGAAAAAACAGGGAAGACCTTCCTTACCATCTGTAAGTTATCGACTACAGAGGATTGAGATTCTGTTATCTACAATTAGAACAGCCGTAAAGTATCAATTAAATCAAAGTAAATGCATTACATTAATCTTTATGAGAAATATGTTGTAATTAAATTTAATTCAACCAAAAATATGTTGATGTATGTTAGAGAAATGTAACTACATGTAATCAGATGGTATTTTAATAGAAGTTACCAAACTGCCAAAATAGCCTAGGAGGTAAATGAATATTTCTATATACACGAGGAATACATAATAGATAATGATGTAAAATTAAAAATGACCACTTTACCATCACTATAAAAACAGGATGGTCATCTTAACTTTCTAGTCTTCAAGCTTTGAGATAACTTGGGGCCAAGTGTATCATTTAATTTGCTATTGGAGAAAATAGTTACCATGCTTGCTCCTAAATGGTTTAAATGAGTCCTGATATTTCATGCTTTACAAAGCATGTTCACACTGCACAGGTGATTGTTTATAGGTAATTTCTGAATTTTTATAGAAAGTTGGAACGACTAGTGATGTACAAAAAGCCACGTCACCTTCACCAAAAAAACGAGGACGACCGTCCTTAGCATCTGTAAGTTTTTCAGTTTTCAAACAATTTTGTGCCCATTCATCATTGGTTTTATAAAAGAGAATTATGTTTGAGTGTCATTATGCTACCTAAATTATACTCTAGCTGCTTTTTGAGTTAGTCATATCTGAAGTCATTTTCGTACTTCAGCTATTTTTAAGACAATTTGTATGCATCAAAATGACGTCGCAAAGTTTTAATGGATATTTGACTGGATCAGTCTGGGATAATGGACAGGGTTTGATCCAGGGTTTTTAGCCCTTGGCTTATTTATGGAGTTTTGATTAAAAAAAAACCCCACCCTTATGTCTGATATGTTATAATATCTTTACGAATAATTGTCATTTTTACCGCATCATCCACATGTGGTTGGATAATGTATCCACACCTGAAATTCACTCCTTCCTAACTATTGACTCCACAGACCTAAAATGCCATCACTGAAATAGTAGAAAGCTTTGATCAATGGATATAACTTAAAAGGCAGCTATTTCAATATCAATATTGCAATTTACCTTAGAAATTTAAGACTTGGACTTACTTCAGTATAATAAAGTATTTAAGTGTTATCATACCTTGACATAAAAGTGTTTGACAAAAAAACTGAATATGAAAATGATGAAGAAAAAAATATATCAGAAAGGCATGTAAAATGAGTGTTTTTACAAGTATGCAATGAAAAGCAAACGGTAAAGAGGGTTAGTTATTACAGAAAAGAGTGAGTTGTTTTTTCTTTAGCTTGAAATGTTTGTAAGGCAGAGATTACTTCATACTCCAAGTCAGTAAAAATGGAGGAAAAACCGCCCAGCCTGCCTTTGGTAGTTTTGTGATCCTGTTGTTAAATGTCATATGTTATCTCTGTACAGACATAATGTGAGGGAAGTTGAAACTCCTATGTGATATTTGGATGTTTCTTGATACAGAAAATCACAACTGGTAATAATGAACGAAATCAACCATCGAACCAGCCAAGAAAAAGAGGAAGGCCGCCTGTAAGTTACTGATAGTTCAGTTGTGATGATTAAATCTAGCTCAAATTCTGTCTTCTAATGATAATGTCTAGCTCAAATTCTGTCTTCTAATGAATATGTCTAGCTCAAATGCTGTGTTCTAATGAATATATCTAGCTCAAATTCTGTCTTCTAATGATTATGTCTAGCTCAAATTCTGTCTTCTAATGATTATGTCTAGCTCAAATTCTGTCTTCTAATGAATATATCTAGCTCAAATTCTGTCTTCTAATGAATATGTCTAGCTCAAATTCTGTCTTCTAATGAATATATCTAGCTCAAATTCTGTTTTCTAATGATAATGTCTAGCTCAAATGCTGTGTTCTAATGATTATGTCTAGCTCAAATTCTGTCTTCTAATGAATATATCTAGCTCAAATTCTGTCTTCTAATTAATATATCTAGCTCAAATTCTGTCTTCTAATGAATATATCTAGCTCAAATTCTGTCTTCTAATGAATATATCTAGCTCAAATTCTGTCTTCTAATGAATATATCTAGCTCAAATTCTGTCTTCTAATGAATATGTCTAGCTCAAATTCTGTCTTCTAATGAATATGTCTAGCTCAAATTCTGTCTTCTAATGAATATATCTAGCTCAAATGCTGTGTTCTAATGATTATGTCTAGCTCAAATTCTGTCTTCTAATGAATATATCTAGCTCAAATTCTGTCTTCTAATGAATATATCTAGCTCAAATTCTGTCTTCTAATGATAATGTCTAGCTCAAATGCTGTGTTCTAATATTATGTCTAGCTCAAATTCTGTCTAATGAATATATCTAGCTCAATCTAATTAATATATCTGCTCAAATTCTGTGTCATATATATCAAATTTGTCTTCTAATGAATATATCTAGCTCAAATTCTGTCTTCTAATGAATATGTCTAGCTCAAATTCTGTCTTCTAATGAATATATCTAGCTCAAATGCTGTGTTCTAATGATTATGTCTAGCTCAAATTCTGTCTTCTAATGAATATATCTAGCTCAAATGCTGTGTTCTAATGATTATGTCTAGCTCAAATTCTGTCTTCTAATGAATATCTTGGTCAATCACATCTGTTATCAATATCTTGGTCAATCATGTCTGTCATCAATATCTTGGTCAGTCACGTCTGTTATCAATATCTTGGTCAATCACGTCTGTTATCAATATCTTGGTCAATCATGTCTGTTATCAATATCTTGGTCAATCATGTCTGTTATCAATATCTTGGTCAGTCACATCTGTTATCAATATCTTGGTCAATCACGTCTGTTATCAATATCTTGGTCAATCACGTCTGTTATCAATATCTTGGTCAATCATGTCTGTTATCAATATCTTGGTCAATCACGTCTGTTATCAATATCTTTGTCAATCACGTCTGTTATCAATATCTTGGTCAATCACGTCTGTTATCAATATCTTGGTCAATCATGTCTGTTATCAATATCTTGGTCAATCACGTCTGTTATCAATATCTTGGTCAATCACGTCTGTTATCAATATCTTGGTCAATCACGTCTGTTATCAATGTCTTGGGTTATTGTTGCTTTGTCAGTTAATATTTGTCTCGAATGTCTAAATCAGATATGTCCCGATGTTCAGTGTTATCTTGTGCGTGCTAAAATCGTTGATTCTGGAAATTTGGTAGGAGTCGAATTGAAATGAACTTGTACATATTGTAAAATGCTTTTCAGTTTATATATGTGTGCATTGATAGGTGTTTCTGATAAGTTGTAATTCACGGTACATTAATATACACACAGGGATTCGTAATCAATTTCAAGCAAGCAAGTCTATTTTACATCAATCTTACATGAAGTCTTTTGAAAGGTGTACATTCCATTACATAACAACAGTTAATTTATCATATAAGTTACAATAGAAACGTTTTATTGATAGTGGTATAACATTCAACGAAATCAAGATTTGACCATCATACGATAGGAGAAAACCTACAGAACATTGAAACAATAATGAACTATTCTTGTCTTCTATAGAACAAATCACACTGATACACATTTTATTCACAGGTACCAAGCAAGAAGTCTGGAGAAGTTAAAGCTGTAAGTGCAGATTTCACTGTTTTATCAAAGTTACCAAGGGTATAGGTACTTCATCATTACCTGTTTGTTACCTGTATGTTACCTGTATGTGAAATCCATGTCGGCCCCCACAGCCAGTCTGTGTAGGGTAAAAGGAGGGTAGGTTGGACACTTGACATAAACACATACAATCAGATATAATTTGATATACATGTAAATGACAGGGAAGTTATATACCTGATGAAACATAATGATAAAATGTGCTATCGGTATAAGAAAATGGACCTTGTTGGATATGTAAGCTTACTAACGACAATCCTCAGTAATACCAGCCAAGGGAAGGAAGTTCGGACAAGTGGATGTTTTGTTGTCTGTATTTGGGTCCTCACATTATATATTTCCCTACATCTTGAAGTTAGAACGGTACCTGAGTATTTTGTGATATTTGTTTGTTGGTCGGGACTTTGTATCATAACAATGGAAGAAGACAGATAATGGAGCCTTTTTTTTTTTTTTTTAAATTGTTTATAGTGCAATTTCTTTGAATTGTCATAAACTACATACTTTTTTTCTCTATATACTTTTATAATATTTATACTAACATACTTTTTCCTTTTATAAACATAAGTAAAAGGCGCTGCATTGAAGTGGTTTTTCTCTCTGAATTGGCAGATAAGTTTATAAATTATTATTTATACAATGTGATGTTTACTGCAGGCAGACAATTCCAGATCTGTCCCGTCAGGAAGACCAAGAGGTCGACCTCCATTAGGAGAAAATGGTGTAAGTTTTACAAATGGAAAAAAAAAGTTACAAATATAAAAAATGAATGAAGATATTCTAAATCATCAGGTATATTAATTATTGCCAAGGATAAAATATATCTGTAGTTGTCCGATTTATATCGATTTAATTATAGTGTACGATGGAAAATGATATTACAAAGTAGAATATTGTAATGTATTGATAGCCTGTAATCAAAATCAAACTGACAATTATTAGCAAAACATTCTGAGGTGTGCAAGCTTCAAACATTCTTATAAACAAATAACGTTGTCCTGATGAAGCGTCTGCAACAGCGGTGAACCTAGTCGACGATTAAGTAAACAACCACCTAATCGGTAACGTATGGGTATGTTGTGATTCATACCCTCTTCATATTTGGCATGAAATAGTTATACGTAAATAAAGGTAGAATTTATTTCCGACAAATGGTTTCACACGTTTTTAAAGACTTTGTAAATTGTCATATTCTAGTAAAATTGTACAGTTTTAGGGTATAGATGTGCTACAACTGACAAGATATAGTCTGGTACAGTTGTACAGTTGTCAGATATAGATGTGTTATAACTGACTAGATATAGTCTGGTACAGTTGTACAGTTGTCAGATATAGATGTGTTACAACTGACTAGATATAGTCTGGTACAGTTGTACAGTTGTCAGATATAGATGTGTTATAACTGACTAGATATAATCTGGTACAATTGTACAGTTGTGGGATATAGAGGTGTTACAACTGACTAGATGTAATCTGGTTCAATTGTACAGTTGTCAGATATAGATGTGTTACAACTGACTAGATATAATCTGGTACAATTGTACAGTTGCGGGATATAGATGTGTTACAACTGACTAGATATAATCTGGTACAGTTGTGGGAAATAGATGTGTTACAACTGACTAGATATAATCTGGTACAGTTGTGGGATATAGATGTGTTACAACTGACTAGATATAATCTGGTACAGTTGTACGGTTGTGAGATAGATGTGTTACAACTGACTAGATATAATCTGGTACAGTTGTACAGTTGTGGGATATAGATGTGTTACAACTGACTAGATATAATCTGGTACAGTTGTACAGTTGTGGGAAATAGATGTGTTACAACTGACTAGATATAATCTGGTACAGTTGTGGGAAATAGATGTGTTACAACTGACTAGATATAATCTGGTACAGTTGTGGGATATAGATGTGTTACAACTGACTAGATATAATCTGGTACAGTTGTACAGTTGTGGGATATAGATGTGTTACAACTGACTAGATATAATCTGGTACAGTTGTACAGTTGTGGGATATAGATGTGTTACAACTGACTAGATATAATATGGTACAGTTGTACGGTTGTGATATAGATGTGTTACAACTGACTAGATATAATCTGGTACAGTTGTACAGTTGTGGGATATAGATGTGTTACATCTAACTAGATATAACCTGGTACAATTGTACAGTTGTGAGATATGGATGTGTTACAACTGACTAGATATAATCTGGTACAGTTGTACAGTTGTGGGATATAGATGTGTTACAACTGACTAGATATAATATGGTACAGTTGTACGGTTGTGAGATAGATGTGTTACAACTGACTAGATATAATCTGGTACAATTGTACAGTTGCGGGATATAGATGTGTTACAACTGACTAGATATAATCTGGTACAGTTGTGGGAAATAGATGTGTTACAACTGACTAGATATAATCTGGTACAGTTGTGGGATATAGATGTGTTACAACTGACTAGATATAATCTGGTACAGTTGTACAGTTGTGGGATATAGATGTGTTACAACTGACTAGATATAATCTGGTACAGTTGTACAGTTGTGGGATATAGATGTGTTACAACTGACTAGATATAATCTGGTACAGTTGTGGGAAATAGATGTGTTACAACTGACTAGATATAATCTGGTACAGTTGTGGGATATAGATGTGTTACAACTGACTAGATATAATCTGGTACAGTTGTACAGTTGTGGGATATAGATGTGTTACAACTGACTAGATATAATCTGGTACAGTTGTACAGTTGTGGGATATAGATGTGTTACAACTGACTAGATATAATATGGTACAGTTGTACGGTTGTGAGATAGATGTGTTACAACTGACTAGATATAATCTGGTACAGTTGTACAGTTGTGGGATATAGATGTGTTACATCTAACTAGATATAACCTGGTACAATTGTACAGTTGTGAGATATAGATGTGTTACAACTGACTAGATATAATCTGGTACAGTTGTGGGATATAGATGTGTTACATCTAACTAGATATAACCTGGTACAATTGTGTTGGATATAGATGTGTTACAACTGACTAGATATAATCTGGTACAGTTGTGGGATATAGATGTGTTACATCTAACTAGATATAACCTGGTACAATTGTACAGTTATGAGATATAGATGTGTTACAGCTGACTAGATATAATCTGGTACAGTTGTACAGTTGTGGGATATAAATGTGTTACAACTGACTAGATATAATATGGTACAGTTGTACGGTCGTGGGATAGATGTGTTACAACTGACTAGATATACTGATATCTTGTTTACTTCAGGCTAGAAAAAAGACCCGATATATCCCTACAGGAAAGCCAAGATGTCGACAACCACTTACAAATGGTGTTAGTTTTCTAGAATATATTGATAGGTTATAAATAGCACGATTAAGATAAAATGAAGCTGTTAGGTATGTTGGAAAACAATTAAAACAGTGACTTTTGTTTGGAGGTTATGTTTTAGTGGAGTGCTACAGGTCATGATATTGTTCTTTATAATGGAGAATAAAGGTAGCATCTGACGTGTGTTGCTTGTATCTTTGTTGCCTGATAGGTCATTTCCTGTCTTTACATTTTCCATCTATTACAAATTCAAATATCACATGATTAATTATTCACGTACACATTCGAATAAGGCAGAAATATTAAGTTGTCTCTACCGTTATTGTCTATATGATCAAAATTCATAAACAGGTTTGGGCCACCACTTCCTGAGGAATTTGACATAAATGTACATCATTTATAATCCTTCATTTAAAGTCTTGTTTACTACAGACCAAAAAAACCATTAGATATATTCCTGCAGGACAAATAGGAAACGATGTCCAGGGTTCAGAAAAGTACAGATAATATTCATATATATTCCTTGTTAGTTGGTAATACCACTAGTTTTCATAACTCTTTCAATCATTTCTTTACTTATCAACATTTACATGAAATATGTTATGAAGGGGCGAGCTTTTTTCAGAAACAGCTGTTGAATCATGATTGAAATTGTTGGGAACGGGGGACATTGTAGTGACATCACTTTCCAGAGATCAATCACTGACATGATACTACACCAAATTTTTACTGTAGGCCAACAATTCCAGATCTGTCCCTTCAGGAAAACCAAGAGGTCGACCACCATTGGGAGAAAATGGTGTAAGTTTTACTTTACAAGGTTTAAGAAGAGGGATAATGTTTTAGCCATATTTATGTGTATCGGTAGATATATATGACATATCATGACCTGATACTATCTAGTAGAAAGATAAAGTTATAGCCATATTTATGTGTATCGGTAGATATATATGACGTATCATGACCTGATACCATCTAGTAGAGAGATAAAGTTTTAACCATATTAAGGTGTATGGGGAGATATATATGATGTTTTGATTACTGCAGGCTAAAAAAACCACAACATATGTCCCCACCGGAAAGCCTAGAGGTCGACCACCATTGGGAGAAAATGGTGTAAGTTTTCCTAGATTATATTAATTGGTAAAACATCAGAAAAGACAGATTTAAATAAACTGAAGATGTCCGATATATTAGAGGTATAATTTTGGATGATGTCACCTTGTTAAAGTCGTTAACTATGACGGTTACAATGAGAACGTAAATGACATCTGCCATATGGAACTTCCACAACTATTTCCTGTCTGATAGGTAATTTCCTGCGTAAGTTTTTATTTTTCATCCATCACATTTTTCAGATATGATATCATTGATAATTAATGTCGAAATTTCGACAAAAGGCAGAAAGAAGATGGTTGAAAAACTGTATAACTCGCTCATATTTAGCTCAATGTATTGGTACTGTTTATAAATAATAGTTTAGAATCTGTAGATATGTACATTTTTAGGTCCATTAGCTTCTGTTGAAATGGATATACATGTACATGTATACGTCGTCATTTGAAATCTTGTGAACTGCAGGCCAAAAAAACCATCCCATATATCTCGACAGGAAAGCCAAGAGGTCGACCATCTTTGGGACATAATGTTGTGAGTTAGATAAGAATACAGTTGTCTAGTAATTAAGATTGTGTCCTGCCAATTTTCTAATACAGGTGTAGGTTCATGGACAAAAACATTATTTTCTATCATTATTAACTGCTCCTTAGAAGGCAGTTGATTAGCAAAGTTTTAATGTAATGCTGTGTTAATCATCTGTTTTGAATAGTGAAGCAAGGTATTGCCAGCTCTTTTGGGGAAGTAATGGTATACATAACTTGTGAGAAATATCAACTTTTTTCTAGAAAAGGGGAAATGTCATTCTACTAATCTTAAAATGTATGCTTTGATGTGTAAACACGTATTTTTCAAATACATTTTAAAAATCAGCTTTAAATTTGGTGTAGAATTGATGGCTTGTGTATAGAAAACAAGGCAAATCATCACTTAGCTTAATAATTTTGTTCACAGACAAAATTACGAACAGAATCCAATAATGGTGGAGAATCTGATGCAGTAAAAGTTGAGTAAAACAGATGGCTCCACCTTCAAATCCTAACCATTGTAAGTTGTGTAGAGCTTCAAGGCATCCTATTAACTTTGATTTAATCAGAATACATCTTAATGTCAGTTTTAATTGAAGTAAAAGCTAACAGTTCTGGTAGTTTTGTTTCCTTAAAGGATAAGGGTGAAAGCGTAGAATTATTACTTTTCATCTCTTATTAATTCAGCTTGTTATTGTTGTCCATATTTCTGATTGAATTCCTCTCTTTATTGTCTTTCATGCTGCAGACCAGTATGAAGTACGTCCATACACTTCGTGTGCAGTCTTGCTTGAACAGTGTTGTTATGGACATGAACTGTTGTTGTGTGACGAGGAAATGTGGCATGTATGCATTATCATCATGTACACAGATGGAAAAATGATTTTAAAAAAAACATTTACATATCATATGCGATCGATGATATTATCATATATCACTATGGAATGTGATAGATGATGTTGAACTACCATACATTTGAGGAATGATACCTCAACTTAACAACCATATGGTGACCTTTACTGTTTCATATGACCTTGACTATCACATGTTTTAATGAAATTGTGATCATGATAAAATGTTTTTTTATCGATCAAAATGATCTTTAATATCTTGTAAGTTTTGATAGTTTATTAAGTACAGTCAGATTATGGGTAACACTTGATTGTGCGTTAAGATAAATTAAGGCCAACTCAGAAGATTGGCCAGAGCTTTTGTATTTAGGTCATAATGCTTCTTTCCACGTTGTCCCTTGTGAATTTTAAACTTGAGCAATTTAGCTGAAACTGAAGTGATACTGAACTGGTTCCTATGTATACCATAGGTCGGTCTGAAATTCAAGGTGTCATTATACTACAAATTGTGCTTAAATAAAGTGGCAATGTTCACGAATTCATGCTACTCCAACAATACCTTGCTGATTTCATTAGACATTAAAAAAATAGTAGTCCTCTCTACCATCTTGGTATTGATTGTCAAATGGCTATCAAAACCAATGGACTTTTTATGTAAGTGTACGTTCCTAGAGTGTCTTCTGCCAATTTTATTGTTCATGTTCATTAATTTCTGATACTTTTATTATTAATTTTTAAAAGTTTTTGGAGTTTATCAGTTTTTGTCTGGTACTCCAAAGTGTTCAGTTGTGATAGTATACTGGACTTCTATAAATGTGTCTTACATTGTGTTCATTTTATTGGGTTTTAGTCTGTAAGTGATCGATGAAATTTATAAATAATATGAAACGATTGTGAAAGTAGATTCCTGTTGTCTATAAATTTCATAAGTGCATTGCAGTGCAAATTTACCCTGAAGAATCTCTAAAAGAGTTAATAAATTTTTATTTCTAATTCAATGTTTTTATAAAATGTTTTAGATATCTTAAAGAATTTTTTGCATTGAAATAAAACAGAGGTTCCATTTGGCAGCATTCAGGTTTTGAACTTTGAACCTATTAAGTGTTTTATTTAAATGTACATTGTTTGTATGTAAAGTTCAAGGCTTTGTAACACTAACTAATTATAGGATGAATTTGTTTCTCTTGTCATGATTTTGTTTGTTAACTGTGATGTTTTCTGAAAAATTTGATGTATTGTGAGAGATGATGATCAGTGTACACTTTACTCATTAGCCCCGGTGTCAAATGGCATGACATACCAAGGACATTCATATAGTTAGTCAGAAAGGGGAGATAATTCATGAACACATTGGTGATTCATACTGAAGCAAATACTTTTGTTGTGTAATATATTGGACTATTAAACAGTGATTAATAGATATCAAGTTAAGACTTTCTGTCAATTCCAATACAAGTATATCATTACCCACTTTATTGTGTCAAGATCTGCAGACTCAGTTGGAAACATATATGTATTAACTCATAGATATTCCATTTTAGCTGTTTTGGCCACCTTTTTACTGTCAGAACATGTATGTCGAGCCTCAGACTAGGAAAATGCTTTTGTTAATATTTTTTGTTGCATGAATGTAAATAATTTGTTTCTGCATAAGACAAACTCTTTTGTGCCTGAATACACTAACTGATCTTGATGCATGTGTCTATTAAGAGGATACACAGAGAACATAGTAACGGATATAGTTTCACATATATTTAGATCTGGTGTGTAAGGTTTATTGGGGTAGCTATAGGTAATTTGGAATCATTAACACCTGCAATACATATTGATACACTGGCCATTATCTTGTGAATCATGTGCTTAGAGCTTTAATTTTATTGTATTGTTATTTTTGTTGTGAGTTATAATTTAAGCAACATTTTCACATTTGCTAATAAAGACAGATGATAATTATTTACTTCGCTTCTTGAATTGTTTAAAGATCTGGGCAACCAGTGTTAAACCTTGATATTTCATCAGTGCTGCAGGTCTTGATATTAGTTATATTTAATTGATAATATTTTAGTACATAGTTGCGAGGAGGGGATTATGAGGAGTGGTTCTGCTCTGCTTAAATGGTTTTATCCTTGTGTAAACAACAGGTGTATGGGTACATTTGATTTCTGTTTGTATAACAATATCTACAGATTCCATTACTACCAATATATACTAATCCTGCCCCTGAAGTTTCCTAATTACCGACATGGATTTCACATACCTAGGCACTGCATATTTATTTAATTACATTGGATATCCATGCCTGAAATTGTCATTTTTGTTCCATTTGATATATATTTTTGTATTTCATATGATTCTTTTATTGAGCCTTTAAGACCAGTTAAGGATAGTGGTTTTTGAAGGCATCTAGTTTTGTAAATATAAAATTTCATTATAAGGATAATATGATTATCTACATTGAGTCGGATTCAATTTTCCTCATGTATACCAAATATAACTTATCAAAAGAAAAAGTGATAAATAATGAATCTAACAAGGTTTCAAAGTTTAACAGGTTTTGCACCTGAATGCATTCCCATATTACGTGTTCAATTGTTTCTATTTCTGACTTGCAAAAATAACAATATGGATTATCTACTTATCCAGTTCTATTAAATTGGCATTTTTGTTATGGAGTTATCTCCCTTATATTGATTTTCACTTACTTTGACTTTTTTGTTCCATGCATTAAATACATCTTTCCAAAATAGGTTTATGGTTATTTTTTCACATTTTAAAATATAATCAGTTACACATTTTGCTAAAATGTCTATATTTAAATAAGTTTTTAAATTTCCTGCCATTTACCTGATGTAATATACAATCTTCTTATCCATGTTAATTTCAAAGAATCTATAAAGGAAATTAAAAGTATCATTTTCAACCCACCATCTATATAATTCTTTATTACTATGTCCCTTTAGTTTTATCTACCTTGGTTTTCCATAAGAAGTTGAATAATTCTGTGTGAAGATTTTTAAGAAAATACTCATCTGGATTTGGTATTGCAATAAATAGGTGATTTAATTGCGAAATAAGCAATGATTTTATGATATGAATTCTACCTATTGGTACAGTAATTCTCCTAGACCAAGTATTGATAAGTGTCTTTATCTTAACTAGTTTTTTTATCATAATTCAGTCTAGGGATGAGGTGTAAATCTACATGAAAGTTGATGCCAAGAACATTAAATGCTTTAATTCCCCATTGTAATTTCGATCCTGGATATAGAAATTCCTCGCTATACATTTCACTCCCTTTCCATATAGCCGGAGATTTTGATATATTAATATTCAAACCTGAGATTTGTGTAAATTTATTTAGTTCATTTAATGCTTTCAGAACTTTCAGTTCCATCTAAAATTAAAGAGGTTATCACCAGCATACTGAGATATCAAAATGGGACAATTATTTATACCGGTACCCTTTACCTGTTATTTCTTATTCTTATTGCTAGTACCTCTGCACACATTATAAATATATATGGAGCTATAGGATCTCCTTGACGACAACCCCTTTCTATTTAAATAAATTCTGATAAATCCCCCCTTGATTTATTGCTGACACCGAGTCAAAAACTTTCTCAAAATCAATAATTATTAACATTCCTGGTGTTTCATTTCTCTCTGCATAGTCCATAATATCATATGTCAGCCTTGTGTTTTCTCCTACATAACGACCTTAAATAAAGCCTGTCTGGTCAGAATTAATTAATTTACTTAATACTGTTTTTATTCTACTTGCTATACAACCTGATGCAACTATAAAGATAATATATAATGGAAATATAGGTCGCCAGTTCTTTCAAAATTGTCCAGATTTTTCTCCTTTAGGTAAACATGTTATCACTCCTTGTCTTTGAGTAACAGATAGTTGTCCTGTCATATAACCAAAATTGATGGATCGCACTATAAAGTTTCCTAATTGTTTCCAAAAACATTTGAAAAATTCTACGGTAAAACCGTCTGAACTAGGAATTTTTTTCATATTTTTGATGATCTTTGCCGCTTCACTTACAGTCATTTTACCCTCTAAAGTTTCCGAAATATTTAGCCGTGGAACGTCAAAATCTTTTTAAAAACCCTCTAAATTAACTTCTTCAATTTCATCATCTGCAGTATATAACTTTTCATAGAATGTTTTAACTTCATTCAAAATTTCCGCTTGTTTTGTTATAATCTCAACATTATCTTTTTCTATCTTAGGTATTATGTTTTAGGTAAAATTTCGATTTTCTAAATTAAAAAAATAGTTGGTTGGTTGCTCCCCCTCTTCCACCCATTTAACTTTTGACCTAATAGCGCAGCCTTTTAGTCTTTCAACTCTAATCTTTTCTAATTCTTTCTTTTTCTCGTTACTCATCACTATGTCAATATCTTCCCCAGCTTCAAGATTTTGAATTGTTTCTATCAATTTTTTCTCATTAGTGTTTTGTTGTTTTTTCTTATATAATGAATATGAAATAGTTTTGCCCCTGATTTCCATTAAAAGGGTTTCTGAAAGCAACTGGTCATTAATTTGGAATGCAATTTCTGTGTCTGGAATATCATTTATATTATTAAGATTATATACTGGAAGTGCATATTGTACTTGTAACATCAGTGATAATTTTTTTCACAATTTCAAGATAATCTAAGACGTATAGCAGGGAGTTATTAAATTTCCATAACCCTTTTCCTTTCATAAACTCATTAAACTTAAGCGAAATTATTGTCATGGAATGGTCATATCTATATCCAGAAATAATATCTGAATTATCTAAACTTTTAATAAATTTTCGGAAACATGAAATAAATCTAAGCCAGCCTGTTTTATAGGGTTGCATCCTATTTATCCAATTATTTCAATTACTTTATCCCTACCTTTTGGATTATTTACATGTTTATAATTTTTATCATAATCAATTTTCAGGATTTAAAACTAGGTTAAAATCTCCACATATTATAATATACTCATTATCAAAATCGTTTACAGTTTTTAATATACTATCATAAAAAGTAGGCATGTCAGAATTTGGACCATAAACAGTTAGCAGTGTAATGTGCTTACCATCTATTTCTAATTGTAGAGCTAAGAAATTACCCGTCATGTCGTTCTTTTCTTTAATTACTTTCACTTCAAAATTGTTATTAAAAAGAATCATAATACCCCTAGCATTTGATCGCAGAGAATTAAAGTAGCACTCTAGTCCCCATTCTGCTGTGACAATATCTTCAATATCTAGAGTTAAATGTGTGTCCTGTAGACAATATATATTAACATTTCTTTCCCTTGAATACTTAAACACATCTTTCCTTTTATCCCTATCTCCCAAACCCTGACAACTAGCAGACACTATTCTTAACGCTTCCATGACGGAAGGACTAATACTAAAAACGTTTAGTGGCTACACACTCCCTGCGTCCCTGAAAGAAGGAAGAATGAAAAAGGAAAGTAAGTACTAAGATTGAGTATACAGCAGAAGAGAAAATAAACCATACTCCAGATAGGTCAAAATTAGCAGCGACAAGTCGTACCTTATGGAAATTCAGTTGTAAGGAAACTGTATTTAATTTAGCGTCGTAGCCATCTAGTTTCTATTGATTAATTTGAATTAATTTATGTTCTTACCATGAAGAACAAAGAAAATATTAACATGTTAGGTGAAGCATAATCTTAAGTTCAATTAATGGAAATTAAGGCAAAATATGAACAAAAGAAAGATTTACATCGTTGACACCAGCAACATTGATCTTGATCAATCCAAGTAAGTAATGTCACGTTCTTCAATACAAGAAAAAGATATACAACAATAGAACCAACAGACAAACTAACGAACATCAAACACGTCCAGCTTCATATCACACAGAAATAATATTTCTCAATGAGATCACTATGATGACTGTAAAACTTATTTTCATCAACCTGCATCTCCTGAAACCCTGTGTTGTGAATTTGTCAGTTGTTGATAAAGTACACGAACAGGCCCTTGAATATCAACTCAGTTGCGACATGTAAACATCATAGGTTGGGGATGCAGGGGTGTTGCTATCCAGAAATGTAAGTTTCAATATTGGAAAATTCAAATCATTCCGCTTATATTACAGCTTGGTGGAAAGCTGTCCATGTTGATTTTGTTGTAGGAAAAGATCGAGGCCAATTGCTTACGTAGAAGAGTCTGCCATGTCCTTGGTTTCCCATTCTGGTCGGCATATGTGATTAGAGAAGTCTATAAATCTATTGTTATTTAAAGACAAGACGTCATCAACATATCTGATATGAAATTAAAGGACGTTGGAAGGTTTATAGCTTGGTTTGATAAGCACATTGATAAATTCAGCCTTGTATGAGATAAAAAAAAACCCAAGTTGGTCAACAAAAGGACACAGTTAGTTCCCCTTAATCCCTTTTTCTTTGGTTTGGACTTATTTTTCACTACATAAATTTTAGTTTAGTTCACATATATAACATATCTGTACCACCGTTCACCTTGTCTGGAATGAAATCCTCTTATAACAAAAGAACGATTGCGTTCTTTTAGTGTAGAATGAAGTCTGATGGTGTACGGAGTAGAAAAATGTGATGCTTCTTACAAAATTAAAAAAAAATTAAAAGATTATTAATGACTGGTCAAAGTTCTTTGGGTTAGTTAAAATCTGCATACCTTTAATTTGTCTTGTGTAATCAGTATCGCAGGTCAGAAATGGTAAGTTTATGATCAGTATTAATTAGGAATAGCAGGTGAGAAGTTGGATCTCATGTCTGTTACATGTCATTTAATAAAATGTGAAGTAACTTTCTTGTCCATGATTATAAACGAATACTGTTTAGTTGATTTAAAGTGAAAAAGATCCACTGATATCTTATGTTTATTGATCTGCCAGATTCAAGTGAAGAGAAAGTATTTCAAGAAAGAGAAATACCGTCTGCAAGCAAAATCATTCAAAATCAGACGGGCAAAATTTAACCCTATACCAACAGAAAGAAAGTCGTTGACAGTGAAACCCCTGAAGACAGATTCAGTGAAAAACAAAAGTGTTACAAATACATCTACTGTGCCATCAAACGAGAAACAAAATCGCTGTCCTTCTATAGTGGCATCAGATGTGAATAACCGTGCTTGTCTTTCGAATCCTCGCATCTACAATGTGACTCCTACAAAAAGGAGCAATGTGCAGTTCCCCGTGCTCAATGAATTCCAGAGAAGTCTTCTACATGTGAATCACAGTAAAACTTTTCTGAACTATGAAAGTGACTGTGAACCTGCACTTGATGTTCTACAAAAGAAACTGTTAGCAGTAAATACACAGCTTATAGACACTGAAGAGCAGAAACTGGAATTGGATAAACGTATAATAATAATCAAACAACGGAAAATAGAATTGGAACGGCAGCTGTTGAACTACCAGCCACAGAGACGAGTGTTAACGCGAGTGGAAAGGGTACCTGTCATAGATATGGTGAATGATCAGCAAAGTGACATTGAACATGGAGCTAAAATTCTAGGATGGGTAGCAGTTGAGAAAAACATTAAAAAAGACCCAACAGCGCGCTCAACATCATGGAATAATTATGAACGTTTTCCTGATAATCAGGTGAGTTGGATACATGTAGCTACAGAAAAATCTTGACATGAATGTCTTTGACTGCAGAAAAATTTTTTTTTCACAAAAACAGTTCTTAAATATTCTACCTATAATCTGAAACAAAGTTGAGATTAGTTGCTGTAACAATCAGTTGGTGACAGGTTTCATCCTGATGTTGACAGTTCGCACTGTCATCATTTGATGGTGGTGTAGTTTGGAAGTATTTAGCCGTAACAAGAATCCAGTGTTTTGCAAAGTTCCGCATGCTATGTAAAAGGACTGTACCGTTTCGCTTGTGAATGCAATTCGTGTGTAGTGCTTGATGCTTTCTTGAACTATCGGGTAACTTGGAGCTGTTATTTTCACCATCACTCCTACTCTTATTGTGGTGTTTGAATCTATATATTACTGCATGGTAATGTGTGTTGTGTACATGTAGTGTATTAAGGTACTGGACTTTAAGGAAACTTGTTCTAATTCAATGCCATATTTATTTGTACTGTATTTAAGAAATTGTGAAAACAATTATTCTGTTGTAGAGCTCTGGCCCACAGCATTCTCGTGAGAGAGCCAAGGTAAGCAGTTATTCTTTATTTTTGTAAAACCACAGTTTCTCTGATGGGATTATGTTGATTTTAGAATGAAATGTTTACCTCTCTGTTCAGATTTCCAAAATTAAGAGTTAAAAGTCATTCTTGGCACTTAAATACATAGTTGAAATATGTGCTGCACGAATTAAATTTGGAATATCCTTTGATAGTATTAAAGATATAATTGAAGATTTGACAGATTCAGCCTTTAAACAATCCAAAGTTTATGATAATGATCGATAGGGTAATTAAAAGAGTTCTTTTAACTTGGGCATGTTATCCAGAAGGAGGTAAAAAAGCCAAAGAAAGTGACATCCAGAACAGAAAAGAGGGGACGCGGGCGTCCAAGGAAGCAAGAATAAATGGAGTGAGTTATCTTCTGATTATTTATCAATTGAGATCGGTTTGTAACATTACATATACTCAATAAATCGTTTAGGGTTACTACAACATGACGTAATCTTATCTTTTAACTGTAAACTGACTGCAAAGTAGCAAGATCTTTGAAATGTTACAAAATGTCACATGTAAGAGATTGGTAGTGCTTTTTATAGGAACGGTATATAGCAATTGCTTTACTTGTCAATGTTTCACTAGTTAATTAGTTGTCACTGCAAGGTAACAGGTGAAAAGTTAAAAAAAAAGATCGTGCACAAGTATAACGTCTAGGTTTGCAATTTGTATTGTGTGAAAGTCGTGGCTTGAAAGGGTAGACAACTGGAGTGGAGACTTTTTTATTTTATTTTACAGGCAAGAATAGTGGATGGTTCTGTCTGATGCTGAATGAGATGCAGCTTACCTTTGTAATTTTCCGTGTGAATGATTTGGATCTACCTGTTAAATGTGTACCACTATCAACAGCCTACATGCTAGCAGTATTCAACTTCTATGAACATACACCAAATGAATATGGGCGTCTGTCACATCCAAAACATCAACATCCTAACTTCTATTCATCGATTCATACATTGTAGACTGTTTACAGCCATTATGCAAATCATTTATTTGCACGTCATTACTCTGTGCCGTCAATATCACATCATTAAATGATATGTTCTATATTTAATCTCATAAAATTCCATGTCATTATTTTGAGTTTCCAATACTTTTATACAGTGAGGTCAATATATCTGTAGCATGTAACATGTATGCTTGTCTGGAATGTATTGATAGATGAGCTCAGATCTCTGTCAAGTTGAAAGATTGCGGCCAGGACACCATCAGCAGGATTAGACAAAATATACTTTTGTAGTTTGCCTGTTCCTACTTATCCTAGTCCTGTGTTGTGTAATTGTGTTTTTGATAGGGCAGAACATTTTCATCTTAATAGAAAACTATTTTGATACATATTTCATTTTTAAAAAGTTCTTATTCCTATATATAAGTGGGCAATATTTTAAGTAGGTCTTGTTGGTATATTAAGAATAAGTGGTAATTGTTCAAAAATTTTTACAAATATTTTAGAAAGATTTTTTAACAATGTGAAACTGTTGATCAGGCAAAGAACCATCTGTTACAACTTGTGATTTTCTTGAATTAGTAACTTATACTTTTGAACAGTATTAAATGGATTTAAATGAAAGTTAATGAAATAGTTGTTGTCAATTGTTGTCTCCAATGTAGCCAGTCTGTAACCAAGTATGTACCCGGTAAGCCTACTACTGATACTGTATACATTAATCTATCCAGATAATGAGAAGTGGAAAATTTACATTTAATTATTGATTAGAAGCTTTAAAGACCAATGGTCCGTGTGTTCCAAACCATTTGTATTTAATTATTATTTCTTCTTCAGATATTGAATGGTAAAAACACCCAAATGATTAATCAAATCCTTCCAGATAATCACAATTATAAACATTGTAATGGTATTAAATAAATTTTCCGTAATTGAGAAAAATATTAGAGAAAATTGAAAGAAAAAGTGGGGCGTGTTCATTCACAAAATCAATTATTTTTACAAGATTAACATTTTACCTGATTGTATTTTGATTACTTTTGAAATGTTAAAACAATTTCTTACGTATATATACTCTTTGATGTGATAACCTGGACACGTACGATTTGGTGTATTTTGTAATCAAGATAAGAGGTTTTTTTTCGTATTTGTTACCGCTAAGGCAGCACCCGTGTTAAGTTATGTGAAGTATGTAGAGGGCGTGGTCTGTGTGTGTCATGTTTTGCATCCATCAAACGGGAAAAGTGGAACAATAAAAGACAGAATTTAATCATACGTTCCGTCTTCTCTTTTTTAAAGTCATCTGCGTAAAGGTTTAACAGGAAAGGTCGTTGTAACTAGAAATCCATGTACATAAGTTGACACACACCATATGATATCTTTGTTAGGTTAGTAAAGGTGTTAACAGGAAAGGTCGTTGTAACTAGAAATCCATGTACATAAGTTGACACACACCATATGATATCTTTGTTAGGTTAGTAAAGGTGTTAACAGGAAAGGTCGTTGAAAGTCTGGTTGTAACTAGAAATGCCTTTACATAAATTTTCACACACCATATGATATCTTTGTTATGTTAATCAACGTGTTAACAGCCACTGAACAGCAGAAACGAGGTCAGTCTCGTGACATCCACAGCAATAACTTAAAGGGTCTCTCCCAAGGACACAACGGCACAGATTGGTCAGTTTCTCAGCTTCTTAAGAAACAGAAACCACCTCAGGGAGGGAGCATCGAACCACGAAGGGCGGAGGTGGGGGCACAAACTGATGCATGTACGCGATGTAATCCCTCAAAATCGCTAGTCGTAAATGATAAAGCGGATTTTCAATTTCATATGAACGCTGGGCCTCGTTCTCTGGGGCTGGAGGGAATGGAGCGGGCCTAATGGAGGGAAATAACGATATTTTATAAGGTCTTTCTCAAGAAATGAAAGGACATTGTCTAAATTTGGTCTAAAGCATCCTGTGGTTAAGATATTCAGTTTTGTATACACTGTTGGTCATGCTCCTTGAACGGGAGGGCAGGTCAAATAGTAGAAATATAGCAAATTTATAATTATTTCGGAGGAACACCAGACCTATGTCTCACTTTGATCTGAGGCATACTTGGGTGAAGTAAAATCAATATAAACGGTAATTATCGGACCCTTTGGGCGGAAGGAGGCCAAATAGGGGGATTCATAAAATTCCTTCTTTTGTCGGAATGCCTGATCCAATTCGGTTTGAAATATTCTTGGTGGAAAGGGAATTAGTTTTGTGTAAACAGAGGGCCTTTGAGATTGGAGGGGCAAATTATACTGATGAACCGTGGAACCGTGATCTAACCATTATACCAAAATCAAATATCCAAACTTATATGTCGTCTTAAGTATACAGAAGACGCACAAATGGATATCGCCGTTAAATTCGAATTTATTCAGCAATTGGCACGCCATTGTCGGAGTACCTGTCATATATAGTTTTACTGAATGTGTATTAATACTACAGAATTAATTTCAGATTTACTTTTATGTTACTTTTATGAATTTAAATTTCTGTTTGAATTAACGATTTTACTTGTTGCAACAAACAAGTTCATTTACGAAAATTCATGAAATTTCTGTTATATTCGTTGAAGTTTGAAACTTTTTCCGCGTGGAGCAATTGTTTTGGCATTCATCATCGGGCGTAATTCAGGGGAACGTCAACGTCAGGTAAACAAAGATTGAACAACAAAAGTGTTTCTGTAATCTCAATTTTCATTAAATTTTGCAGGAGAAATAGAATATTTGACTGGTGTCTTAAAACATAGCTGCGTTTTGGTTCGGTACTGAAAAAAACCAAATACGACGAGTACTTTTCACTGTCAAATAAAAAGAAAAGAAAAGAAAGAAAAACACTGACTATGTATTCTCTATTTACTTCTAGTTAAGATATAAGCCTAAATACATAGTAATAAGTAAACGGGCATCATACAACAATGTTGTCCTTCTATATGCCTTTGATGACGTCATAGATCAGAAGTATGGAACTCTGAAAATAAGTTCAGGAAATGAAAATTGATACAAACAATGATGGTGCAGAGGGGAAATATTATTCCATGTTGATAACAATTTTGCCAGTGAAGTAAAAGAAATTTATCCTGAACCTGAAGCTGCCATTGTCGGCATAAACGTACCACATATTGTTTAGCTGCATCGATTTGCTATGATGGAAAATAATTGTATTTTAGCATGTACATCAGTTCGACAGCATCACTTTCCGACTTACTAAAATGTTACGTTAAAGAAGATGAATTTCTGATTAAGTTGGCGGTTTTGTTTGTTGTAACAATCAAGTTTATTGAAATTGCTGTAATGTCCGTTAAAGTTTGGAACTATATTTCTGTGCGGAGAAATTATTTAGGCGTACGTCGTAAGGCATCATTCAGTGTAACGGCAAAGAAGGCATGTAAACAATAGATGTTGCAGGATAAATAGAAAGTCATGGTCAGTATCCTTGCTAGCCCGACAAAATATAGCCTGTATTTAAGACACTGTATATACATTCACTATAAATTGATTTGATGACATTTTGATCGCCGCTACAGTAGTGATGTAAGTAATCTGATAGATATAACTTTTGTATCTGTTGTGTGTAGTTTGGACCAATTAATGCGGTGTTCACTGCCTTGAAATATGTCGCTTTTCGGACGCTTCGCTTCAATAAGTTGGGTTTCCTTCAAATTTTCAAATTACATTTCTCTAATTTGGTATATAAGCCAGCTTTGTACTCGTTTTTTACCAGATAGCTGTATTAGATGGTATAATACCACGTACTGCAGTCCATATAAAATGGCGTCATCTTGGCAAACGTAACACCTTATTGTCTGACGTCACGGCCACTTAATATCACTGGTTTGAACACACGTTATGTTTTGATGTGTTATTTACTTATTTATTTTTCTTTTAAAATCTGATAAAACACGTGGTTTTACCATTAAATGTCATCTATGTTTATTTGACACACTTATACTGATGAAATATATATGATATTAAGCGATAAACCATTAAATATATCCTCTATTTATTTAACAAGAAGATAATATTTTACCTCTGTGCATGTTTATTTATAACGCAGTATATTCCTACATATAAGTAATTTTTAGAAGAAAGGTGGTAAATACGCGCAGTTTGTCTATATTTCAATACACAATTAGTAATTATATTGCGTCGCTATTGGTTGTAAATTAGAATTTAAAGATGGAGCGCTGTATAATTTAAGTTATTCCAACGTTGTTTGTGTTAATGTGAACATAATGACTTTGTGGCGAAAAATGACTTGAAATTGCAGCTATTAACCGATATTTTCCTGACGTGAATCTGAATTTCTGTTTTTCACGTGAACATTTGGAAAATATCAGAAAGTAAGTGCATCAAATATTCAGAAATGATATATCCTACTTTCTGTAAGTTTGCTAGTTTTTTAGTAGATACACCGCCTTCAATGTGGAAAATGAAAATAGAAAATAGTGGAGAATCCGGGTATCGATCCCGGTACCTCTCACATGCTAAGCGAGCGCTCTACCACTTGAGCTAATTCCCCAATTACGTATTATGTTTGTGCATTATCAAGAAAACAATTTTTTTAGAAGTATAAGCTAAAATATGGAATCACTATCGAATTTTGCAAATATCCAGTATCATATCGTATCATATTTGTTGAAGTGGATAATCAGCAGACATGTCTGAAACATACAATATGATATGGTTATTTACGTATACTGATTTGTTCTAATTAAAGATGTCCTGCAGTGATATTAAGAACTTACATATTTTTACACTTATTGTCACTAATGAATATTACATTCTTTGCTGTATTGTTGTCTGTTAAAAGCGTCGGTTCATCAACATAAAAAAATCTATAAAGTTTAGGAATGTATCAAATACAACAGGATTTTACTAGGAAATGTTAGTTCTTGAATTCGACTTTTTATCAATCTTGTCATTTCGTCATCATACGAATTATGTTTATTGCTTATTCGCGGCCTTGAAAAAAAATTAATTGTTCATTTTTTACATGTACATTTTAACAAATATCCGTTGATTATATATATTTTTTTCGGAAAAGGAATGGAGAATCCGGGTATCGATCCCGGTACCTCTCACATGCTAAGCGAGCGCTCTACCACTTCAGCTAATTCCCCAATTATTCATTTTTGGTGAAAATGATCAATTGGGACGAAAAAAAAACCGTCCGGAGGTAAAAAATGTATTTGATCACGAAACATGACCTTAAAGCTGAAGCGTCCTTCAACGAATTTGTCTTTTGCATGTAATATTACATTATTAGTCTGCAAACACGTACGGCATACAACGATGGTTATACTCCGAAATGTTGTTTGTGTCAAGATGAAAATAATAACTTTGAGACGAAAAATGACTTGAAATTTCGTTCTCTAGTAAGCAGTTTATTTAATCTCAAAGTACGAATTATGATAGAATCGTTATTCAAGGAATATGTCTTTGTCAATAATGTACAATACGCAAATACACAAAAAAATCTAATCATTTTCTGTGCTTAAAATGACATTTTCGTGAAGTAGGTCAAACATGTCTAAAACCATTTATTGAAAAACAACTCGATTCTCTTTTAGAATATCAATTGTATAATTATTAGTGTAAATGTTTTTGTAATATCCTGCATTGACAACGGAACTCAGACCTAATTGATATTGCTTATTAAGACATATTACACAAAGTCGCAGCGAAAAGGACCATATTCCTTCTTTGTGACTCCTAGATGCAAATTCTCCAGGCAGACTATTTGACGACCTGGTCACTGTGAATCTGAATATTTGTTTTTTCACGTGAACATTTGGAAAATATCTGAATGGAAGTACATTAAATATTCAGAAATGATATATCCTACTTTCTGTAAATTTGTTAGTTTTTAGTCGATACACCGCCTTCAATGTGGAAAATAAAAACCAAAAACAAAAACAAAAAAAAGCTGGAGAATCCGGGTATCGATCCCGGTACCTCTCACATGCTAAGCGAGCGCTCTACCACTTGAGCTAATTCCCCAATTATTTGTTAAGTTTTTGCATTATCAAGAAAACAATATTTTTAGAAGTATAAGCTAAAATATGGAATCACTATCGAATTTTGCAAACATCCAGTATCATATCACTCTACTGCAAACCTGTACAGTTGTGTATGATTAACAACAAATGTTATCTTAATTGAGCTAAGATGACAATTTGTTGAAATGTATAATCAGCAGACATGTCTGAAACATACAACATGATATA